GTATGGAATGCTATATTATAGCAAAGACATATAGTAATCTTTTGGATACACTATTTCATATAGAACCTTCATGTCAAACATTTATGTTAATCAATCAAGGATTTCAATGATACTATATATATATATATTATATCAATGAAATAGTAATTTTACAAATATTCGTATTTCTATGAAAATCTGTTTGGCAATATACAAGTTTTAAGAATGAAAAATTAACTAAATTGACATTAATTAACCAGCAAATATCCTCTGCAAAAAAACGGACAAGTGTCAGGAAATGATCGTGGAACACTCGTAAAAGCGCACAATGCTTCAGTTGCAGTAACCTAGGAAGAGGAACAGGTGCTACTCGGTCGTAACGGTTGTCGTGGTTCGTTTCAAACAACCCATGGCCACCTTTCAGTTTCGACATCATTAAACCTCTCTTTCCTTCGTTCAGACTTATTTAAAAACGAAGAAAATTCCGAAGGTTGTTTGGTATTACCAGCTGCCGTTTTCGTTCTTTGTTCAGTATCGTGATGCAATGATAAAACCGCTATTTGTAAATTTATTGCTAGAATAATATTCTAATAAAATAGATATTATACTTTTTAAATTTCTTTAATCTTCAATTCATATTTTTCTAATATTGATTTCTAATGACACGATCATATCACTACTAGGAAGAATATCAAAAGAGTCAAGAATGTATGTGAACACATAATATGATTCGTCATTGGTAGTTGGTACGGTTCACGTGGATAATCTATCATCCGCCTAACAGTTTTACAATTCATACCGTAGAAATGCCGATCCGCAATGCTATTTTCGCGCATTCTCGATTGCTTTCCCCTAGAAAAACGTTTCCCCTATAAGCAGCAGACAACTTTGTTTTTCTTATGGCAATTTAAAGTGTGAAGAATGGGATGTTTTTGATCGATTCATAGACAAATGATACATATTATCATTTGTCAAGCGTTTTAACTTGGGAAAAAGAATAATAGATAGAGTATAGAAAGAATATAGGAAACAGATTATCAAGAAGGAAGCATATTTTATCGATCAAAAATTATTTTACTTGTTGTCGATTAACCTCACTTCTCCATCAAATAAAAAAATAATACAGTATTTTGTTTCTAATGATTTTGCAATAAATACATTACCACTTCTATTATGCACGGTTTTAATAAAAGTCGCTATTCTAATTCTAATGAGAAAAAAATTTGACTAGATATAGATAAATAATTGGCTGAATAAATTTTTTATGATAGTCTGTTTCGCATATGATTTACAACTACAAATTGATTATTCATTTAACAATACGCATTTTGCATAATCTATTAATATTAATTATATTATTTTATAATTTTCTTCTCTTCAGTATCAATTTTGTCTTGATTGATATTTATTTTTTTCTTATTTTCCTATTTTTTTTTTTTTAAACAATGAATGATTTTCTTTGAAATCGATATGATTCCTATCGAATGTTTCTTATGTAGGAAGTGGAAGTGAGTGAAATTGGAAGTGCGCAAAACACGTGACTTGTGACCGGATATATAAGCCTTTCAAATGCAGTTAGGTTAAGTTACGAATCTGTTCAGATGTTAAAAATGATTTGTTATTATTCAAAGATTTCGTAAAATGTATTAAATCACTATAATCAAATGAATCAAAATCAAATGATTGAATTTAATATTAAAAATAATAATGTCTTTGTTTATATTAAACATATACTAATTTCTTTAATCAATATCATAAAAGATTTTCGAGAGATATCTCTATATAAGCGAAGATATTATACAGCATTTATCTACATAATTTCCTTATACGATTTACAATCTCTTTTTCCAATGAAAAAAAGAAAAGAAAAAGATTTACCAAATGTTATTGTTATCGAAGCAAAGACGTTCTGGCGATTCTTATCTTCATTCATCTCTTCGGGTGAAACTATTTGACGTCGTGTTGAATAGGCTCAGACGGTTTTGTCGGGGACCCGTGTCGTCGCCTGTAGTCGGCTCCGCACGATCGTGAATAGAGAGACTCGTACGAAATCAAAGGACCGACAGACTCTTCCTGCTTAGGCGAGATCAACGAGATCTCGTTGAATGGAGACTTTACCTTCTCGCTGTATTATCCTCTAAAGTCACCGGTAAGTCGTATAGCCAACTGATGCAACTCGCAAGTAAAATGAGCTTCTCTTACTCAAACTCTGTTTTTAAGGATATCAAGATTATTATTGTTGTTGTAATTATTTCCGATTAACATTATTTAAATAATGATTGAGAAATTATAAATCTTTCTTTTCAAAGTTTTTCGAATGTAAACATAACCTACTTGAAACTTCACGTGTAGTGAATATAAATAAAGCTTTCGCGCATGTCTAAACACAAAAGACAATGCGCGTGCGTCATTCATCATTTATGAAACCATATTGTGTCTCTGTTAACAGTCTCTCTTCATTGTCCTCATCATATTAATTTCTAGCCATTAATTTTAATACATTAAAATATACATATTATTGATTGCAATTGCATAAGATGTTGCAATTAACAAGTTTCATTTAATATCATTCATAATATATGTTTTATATATGTATAACTTAATCAATTTTCAAAAACTATTTTTAAATTAATTGCTCATAGATAAAATTATTCTATGATTTATAATATTCAAGACTTAAAAAATAAAATAAACTTGAAAAAGAAAAATAATTTTGATGGCTAAAAAAGAAAATATATAAGCCATTTTATTATAATTCTATATTTTTAACATAATTTATTAGTTTAATTATTAAAGTATGAAGTATGAGAATTCCTATATGAATAATATTAATGTATGAATTAAATTTCGAACAATTGATTCAGTTTATAGGAAATTTTCGTGTTCCTAAATCGATCGAAGTTGCATGCGAAATACAGGTCAGAGAACCGTCTAATATTTATTGTTCAGATCGCGTATTCAATCTTATTGTTAATAGCGCAGTGACACGCGATTCTTTATCAACTATGCTCCCTAAATTTAGCTTTCAATCTTTTTTGCGATCCAATTAGCTCACGTACTGAAATTTATTGTGTATACCAAATTTCGATTATACGATTATTCAATATAGATTTTAAGAATTCTTAATAGAAATTTATAGTATTTATTATTTTTATTTATAAGATAATTTTTTAGAGTGACAAATAATTTTATAATAATGTTTCTTAATTTCTGTAGAAACAAATTATTAATTTTTTTATTAAAATTTATTTTTAGCTCTTTAAAGAATACTTAAAAGAGTCTTGGAATTTTATGAAATTTAAGGTTTGATCAGTGTCGTAAGAGTTATATAGCACTTTGAGATGAAATAAGTCTAGTGAGGAGTTTAAGGTGCGGCGAAGGAACGTGGAATGTTGCAATGGAAATTTATTGCAGTATTAGTAAATAGATATATTGATCAAATTTGTGTGCAGTATAAATAGCTGTATATATCTACTAATTTTTTTTTCTTTGATTAAATGATTTCGTAAATTAAAAAATCATAACATAAAATATGATAGATATATAAAATAGATAAACTATATTGTATAATAATTTTTCTCATTTGCCATCTATAGATCTTCCGTTAATTTTATAAGATAATTTTAATTATGGATGTTGATTGTTCTTCCTGTGAAGAAAACGAAAACGGAAAATAAATGTTCGTTCAGAGTAACTAACGCAGAAGGCTAAATTTACGCACGTGCACGGAAAAGATCAACGAGGAATTAGTCTAAAACTCGATGTTTTATTGGTATGGTGTTCTTGAAACACATCCAAAGAGGTCGTCGACCTCGAAAGGGATGGACGCAACGGTTTCTTAAGAATTTTTTATTTTGCCTCATTTTAATGAAACTTATTTAAAATCAATACGCATCTAAATATATATTGTCAGTTTTGCAGAATAATAAATGTTTGAAATTAAACAATGTTGGACAAAATATGCTTTTGTTTAAATCTTTGTATTTTTGATCCTATCCTTGTAATATGTATTATTTACTACATCATTTAATTATTTATTATCATTTACTAACTTAATAATAATTGAATAATGATTAAAAATTAATAAAAAAGAAATAAAAGAAAATTTAACTAATAATAAAATTATTAACTATCGACATCATATTTTTTTTATATTAATGAATATTAAATTAAATTCAAAAATTTTGTGACATATTTTGCGCATAATAATTTAAAATATAATATAAAACACTTAACAAATTGTATTCGTACAAATCTACAAACTACATTCTAAAAACTACCATTCTCAAAACGTGGACATTCATCGATGTACAATTAGAAATAAAAACGACTTACGACTATACTCGACAATGTTATAAAGAGACATTCAAGAGGATGTCTAAGAATACAAGAAGAATTATTCCAGGAAGAATTTACTCTTCCTCGATTCCAGTTATTATGATTTTAGCGCGTGAAAATTAGTCGCAACCAGAAAATGTCCAAACAAATTATGTTTTTCCATCGAAAATCTATACGGTATGATTCGTTTTACGATCTGGCATGTATAATCGAGCCTTTTAAGAGGGAATCGGCAAACTTCTTGAACACTGGTAATTGCGGTGAAATCGTTTGTGGTTGTTGGAAATTACCAGTATCGTTTGCGGTCGGGTTAGTTGACGTGCGTGAGCGGAGAATTATATAGAGCAATGTTGCTTTGTCGTTTGACGAATATATATAATATGTTTATGATAATATGGTGATGAATAAAAACAGAAAGAGAAAATGATAGAAGAAAAATGATAAAATAGAAAAAAATGAATTATAAAAATGATTATATCGTTTATATTGTTTATACAAATTTATTTTCAATAATTATATGAATAATTATAAAATAAATTATTCAATAAGTTAGTAATCAGTAGTTAATATATGATCTTTTAGTTATGTTTTATAGTCACTTTTTTTTTTTTTCAAAAAATTTTTTTTGCTTAATTATCGCAGAATTGCAAAACATTTTTTTCTTCAATTTATCTTTGTTTTAGGAGTAACAAGTACCTGCAAAAATCATCCATCAGCCGGATATGTGCTGTCGGAGGATTTTTCATTAGCATTCCTGTTTTTCTAACTGGTAAGAGGCTATTCATTCTATCAAATTTTATCTCTTGGAAGAGATGTTGTCGTATTCACCTTTAATTTTTTTTTTAACTCGAACATAAATCATAAAGTGTACATTAAATGTTATTTTTGTTATAGAAAAATTCAAAATAATTATCTTTTATTAGTCTTAATAAATTCATTCTTAAAGAAATTAAATTAAGAATATAGGTATGTTACTACCATTAATGAATAAATTGAGATTCAATTTGAAGTTTATGTAATTTAGGTTACATAGTTTTCGTTTAAATTTTCGATCGCTGATCGTAAAACTGATAAATTTTGTTTAAGCATTCCAATTTTATTAAAAAAAAAAAAAATGTTTTATGCTTTAATAAATTTAAGGAAATTAAAATATTTTTTTTACATATTAATATTGTTTTTTCTATTTATTATAATATATATATTATAATATTTCTAACAATGCTTTCAGGTATGATATTGTACACATTCATCCAGTTTCATTCAACACCGGCAATCGTCACGTCCGTTTTTATAGGTCTTGGCATTGTGTTTTGTGGATGTGCAATGGTTCATAACGTCTTCGTGTGGCAGAGGGTAAATACATTTTCAGAGATTTAATATATTCAGAATATATTTTATATTATATTTATTATATATTTTTTATTTTAGTTTGTTTTAAATATTTTTCAAGAATATAATTTCATTCAAACTTAGCGTAATAATATGATAAATTTCATAATAATATATATTTCGTAAAAATATAATATAATTAATTATAAAATTTTATAAAAAGTATTTAAAATTTATAAAGAATTTTGTAAGTATTTCTATATAATTTTTTTCTACTTATATGTTAAATATATAAATATATATAAACTATATAAACGCAATCTCACTTTAGTGCCACAATCTATTTTTTCATAATATTTATCATTTTTACTTTATTCATATATAGAAAATTCATAAATTTATCAATTATTTAATCAATTTAAATTATATCATCAATATGTATTTTAATTAAATTAAAATTTTATATAATTTTTTAATTTTAATTGTCTTACATCAATTTATACAAGAAAAAAATGTTTAAAAAAATTTGAATTTCAAATTTGTGTTATGGAATAATTATTTTACTCTATTCTAAAAATGTCAAAATATTTTATACTTGCAATTTTTATAGATACATAATAATTTCATAATTATATTCAGATATTAAGAATTTTTTATTCTACGATTTATCTAAATTTATCTAAATTTTTCATATAAAATATAATGTAACTGAATGCACAAACACTACAGAAATAGCCTTCGAGAATCCTATTACGCAAGCGTATACGATCAGTATATGTTACCTAAAACGTTCAACTATGTCGCGTCATTCTGTTCACAAACTGTATTAAATATATGTATTAAATATATAATATAATTATTGATATTGCCTTGTTATCATAAGTATTTTATAATTTCAATTATAAATTTTTTGCTTCATTATGATTAAAGTAATCTTTTATTATTATTATTATTATTATTATTATTATTATTATTATTATTATTATTATTTTCTAGGAGAAGACGAACGCCGTGAAAGCGTTAGCGCGTGAACAATGTGAAGCGGCAGTACAATTGCAGCGTCAACAGCAATTACAGCAGCACCAAAATCAACCTCAATTGCAACAACAACAACAACTACGTGGACCATTGACTATCCACTATGCTGGCTGTCCTACAAAAGTTGGCTCTGTGACAAATCAACTAAATGCCAGTCATACAATACACAGTCGTGCGACACAATACCAACATTATCATCATCATCATCATCATCGACACGTGTCAATGTCCCCACCACCCTTGTTGCTTTCATCGCCAGCTTCGATCGCAGCGACGCACAATCATTTAAATGTGAGCGGACATAGAAACATAGTTACGCCACCAGATACACCGGCAGATAGATCGCCACCAAGTCCTGGAAATAAATTGAATAGATCGCAACATTTGCCGCGGGAAACGACCGGCAGTGTTAGCCCTGGACTTCCAGCTGCCACATTGGATTTAAGTAGTGCAGCAACTACTAATAGTCCTCATGAATTGTCTACATTGGTTTAAAATCTTGATTCAAAGATTGTTTTTAATGTAGAATTGAAGATTAATGATTGATTATTAGTTTCCAAATTAAATTTTGATTAAAGAGAAAAATATTTAAAATTATTTTTAAAATTATAGACTCATTTCAAAATTTGGATGATATTAATTTAATTGGTAGAATAATCGGTTTTTAAGTGAACGGTATGATTAAATGATTAGTTCGTTTCTTTTCCTACAGTGGGCACTAGTATACAATATAGTATACAATATCATTTCTGTGGTTTCCCGGTTAACCTGTTGCTTATAGGATTATGTAATCTTGTTGTTTAATACTTGTATTTTGTAAATTTTTTAATTATTTTGGATTTTTATTCAGTTTTCTTAAAGAACTTTTCTTAAAAAAAAAAAAAACGAGTTGAATAAGCATAAATTCCAAGCATCGGGAATATGGAATAATTGTTTCAATTGACAAATTCCGTCAATTAGATTTTTTATAATGAAGTTTATTATAGAAAGAAAAACAATTTAATGATAAGAGGAAAAAAGAGGGAAAAAAGATTATTATGAGAAATAGAAAAACAAAAAAGAAAATAAAATTGTTTGTTAATATTAATTACAAATAAAATAATTTTTAAGAAAACGTCCAAAAGACGTAACGAAAGGAATAATTAATTTATATTTGCGTGTATCTTGCCATTACCATTTTATTACTATTATTGATATTGTTAATATTACTTAATTACTATTATTATTAATATTAATATTGTTACTATTATTATCATTAATGTTATAAAACTTCTAGTCCTAGGTTACTTTCGCCTTCACGAAAGAATAATTTTTTACTGTTGCGCGTAATTCAGCGATTATAGAATTCTCGTTGTGCATGCACAGTAGAAAGAAAATTGGCGAAGTGCAAATCTTGAACTATAAAGAGTAAAAAATATATGTAGATGTACAAGAAGAACTTTGTATTGGTATTATATAAAATTTAAATTTTATGACTTGTAGTGGTATTTTGATTTTTCATTATTTATAAATTTTTTTCATTTCTTCCAACAACTATTAATTTCGTTTGGAATCGAATAAAACATTTTATATTCTTTAAACGTAGTAATTATAATAAAATATTGAATTTTATAGAAACTTTATAATTCGAGACTAGGACTTCGATCAAGTTCACATTGAACATAAATCATTTTAATTTTGTTATTTAAGCGTGTATACTATACGTGTTTGTTCCTTCTCATGTGCGCAGAACTATAGTTTAATTATATCCATAAATACAGTTATTGTCAGATCGATATGTTTTTACACTTTAATATTTAGAATTATTTAAACGCGAAATTAAAAAATAAAAAAAGTTTTTTTCATGTTCCATACATAATATGATCGATCGTTTTTATATATAAAATTTTTTTAAAAATAATATCTAGACTTCTTAACTTATTTTTAATTATTTCGTATTCGATATTAATTTTATAAGAAACGTATTTATACATTTTTTTTATAATTAAATATTGAAAGAGATGAAATCAAACAAATAAAAAAAATTGATATATTGATATATAGAAATTAGTAATTAAAATTGACGCCATATTTAAATAGCAAACATAAAAAATTGTTATCTTAATTTTAATATTTTAATATAAAAACATTTTTTGAATAAAAATTTTTGAAAAATTGTTGAATAAGGTAAATGTTTATAGTGTTTACTATTACATTTGTAGAAATATGATGGTGTTTTGAAAGATTAAAAGTTTATGTATTTAATATTTAATGCAATTCTTCAATTGTAACTATTATGAAAGCATTTCTAAATATGTATTTATAAAATATTTTGATATACCGACGAAATAAATTATCTGTAGATATTTTTATTATAATTTTCAGTATATGTATAATATTATCATATACTCAAGATATCATCAATCAATCAGTATCATATACTCAGCAAAAAAAATACTAAAAAAAATAAAATAAAATTTAAAAAAAAATTTTTTTTGAAATTTCAATATCTTTCAAAGCATTGCTATATATTTGCTATACAATATTAAATCGATAGAAGAAAATGAAATTGTATTTCAGTTTGTTTGTTATCTATTATGGTCGATCAATTGTTTAACTATTCCATTGTTCAAAATGTATCAGAAAAAATTTATGATCTTCGTGAGTTACAAATCATTCATAAATTTTTCATCATATCGTATCATTATATTCGCGTTTAGATAGATCAGTGTACATACTATGTAAAACAATTCGGAATATACAAATATATCACATATGTTCTGAATTGTATTCACATTGGGCAGGGTAATGTTGTACTGAATGAAAATATGTAAATTTTACGATATAATATTATATCGAATTTGTAAGTAGTGTAGAAATAGAATATTTTGCACGTAACGAAATATACAAATGACAATACACAAATTAAATTATTTGTTAGGTCCATGAGCATAGTACAAAAGTGTTTTAGCTTTATGTACTGGTACTTACAAGAAATGTATTTAGTATGTACCTAGTTAAGGAAAAAATAAATTATTCTGAACAGATAACGAGAATTTAAATTCAGTAAAGCATTTAATTTATAAAAAATTATATAATTTATAAAAAAACGAATGTTCAGAAATATAAGTATTTTATTTAAAAAGAAAAGCAAATAAAGTCAATAATAATAGAGTAAAATTTTTTAAAAGGTATTTTTGTTTAAAAGATATTTAACTTATCAAATAAATAATCTCTCTTAAATTCTTAAATAAATAAAATCTTCAATATATAATTATATTTTAATTAAAATATAAATTAAAAAAATATTTACGTTATATATATAAAATATTCGAATTTATTACTGAAATAATTTTTAAAAAGTTTATATTATAAATATATATCATTTACAATATTAATAATTTAAGATATAAATAATTAGACAGAAAAATTACAACATGCTTTATAATTGATAACATTTTAATATATATATCAAAAAATATATAATTTATAAATATATAATTTTTGATTTTAACTTTTAAATGATAATAAAAACAAAAAATATATTTCTTTCATAATTATATAAGCTTTTTACAATAACAATATACAAATATGGAAATTATAACTTTACATAAATCTTATTGCTCTCTATAAAAATTTTCATTTATAATATACAATATATATCATATTAGCTTCACATTTAAAAATAATTTTTTTATATATTTTAATCCTAAATTTTTTATCATTATAACAAAAATTATTATACAAATTTTTTAAACTATAATGAATCTTAGTTATGCTCTTGCATCATTAATTGTTGTTGGAACTCTTACCTCAATTCCATCAAGTTCTTTAGTCATTACTATTTGACAACCTAGTCGTGATCTGAAATAATAAAGAAAAATTTTGAAAAAAGAGGCAATGTAAAATTACCAAAAAATTTGAAATGTTATTTTAATATTTATTTATGCTTAAGGTAGATTCATAAATAAAAGATTATGAAAATTTATTCACATAATTTTGGTTTCATAGAATTCAGAGCTAGAAAATTGAAATTCTATTTTAAAATACAGTGATCTATTTTATAATTATTCTAAAATAAGATTTATAATTGTATTTAATTTTGAAAATAATATTATAATATTTGGTCTTATATTAAAACATAAATTATATATTTGCAAATATTTTTTAAAATAAATTAATAAAACAATTATTTAAATAATTAAAATTTAATACTTTTAATTATAATATTTTAAAAATTTTAATATATATTTTAATAAATTTTAATGTAAATTTTAATATATATTATAATATGCATGTGAAAGTGATTAAACATGTAAGTATATATTTTTGAATTTTAATAACAATATCTCTGAATTTAATGAATTGAATCAAATTCAATTATATTTCAGTTGATTAAATTATTTTTGCATAATTGTTATTTTTAATTTTAGTAACTTTATTCTATATTAAATTATTATTACTAATAATTATTATTATTAGATTACTTACGTATCTGTTAATTCATATGCTAGATCTAACATATCTAACTCTTCATCTGTTGGTTTGTCAGGAAGTATATCATAAACTTCTTTTGGAAATATCAGATGACATGTACTACAAGTTAATGTTCCCTCACAAGCACCTATATAGATAACAATATATCTTAAAAATTATTTATTTAAAAATTATAATTCACTATTATGATAGTGAAAAAAATATGAAATATATTATTTTTTATCTTACAATTATTTCTAAAATTATGTTTTTTTAGAACATACCATATCCATCTAAATCAATTTCATTATTTACTACTATGTCTAAAATAGTATCTCCAATTTTTCCTTTTGCTTTGATTCTTTCTCCACTTGCCTTAACAAATGTTATATTAACTCTAGAAATAATCAGATTTAAAATAAGATTATTCAAAAATATATTATTATATTATTGTCATTATATTATTTATACATAAAATTTTATTTTCATTTAAAAAATTTTTTTTATTAATAAAAAATAATTTTATGATATTTCATGATACATTATAATATATCCTTGTATATAAGTATATACAAGTATATATAAGTATATATATACTTATATAAGTATAAGTATATATAAGTATATACATAAATATATATAAGTATATATGTGTGTATATGTAACGCGATGTTTTTTTTCGAATATATATTATATGCATTATACGTAGTAATAAAAATTAATTATATTATATTATTATTATTTATAATTTACAAAAATAAAATACAATTGCTGTAATATATAAGATTTGCATAATTATTTCATTAACATTATTATATTTTTAGCTGTTCATAATATTGCTTTTATTAATACTACTCTATTAATATTTGTTTCAAGAAAAATTGCGTCACTTACTCTTGTTTTTCTGAAAGTGGTTGCGTTGTTGATGTTCCTCTTGTTGTCTGTAAAAAAGGCAACATTGTCTTGCTTGTAAATTTTGAATAATTCGAAGCAATGCAGAGAATTGATCTCGAAAACTTTTGAAATTGATTTACTAACGCCATTCCACTAGCATAAGTATGGAACACTACGTCGAATACCACAAAAGTATTACGATAAGTACTTTGAAACTAATTATAGTTTAATTGTACTTTGTACAGGAACTTTCACGACATTCTTTCAAATACTACTGTGTTCTTCTGAGACGATAGGTTATAAAATAGTATTAACTGACATATACCGAGCACGTGTTTCAAACCATGCGTTGTAACACGAGAATTGCCACTACAAATAATTGATTTATAATTTTTTAAAAAACTATTTGATATTATATAAATATAATTTATAAAATATATATTATTTATAAATATATATTTTATATATATTATCTCATTTAATAATAAAGTATATAATTTAAAAATCTAAATACAATTTGTCTTTTATATTTTACATTTTTATTTTTCTATTATTCTTTTTAATAAATATAGCAAATTAATTGCGAATTTATATCGAATATATAATTATTGTAATTTAAAATGACAATAAATATTATATAGATAATATAATTTTCAATTTCAGAAATGAATTTTTTAATGAATTAAAATAATTTTAATGAATAAAAATTAATATTTATATTTCTAAATAAAAAGAACAATTTACTTTTAATTTATTACATAAATAAATTGCTTTAATATCTTAAGTTTTATTTTATTATTATTTTTAAATCTTTAATATTAATGTTAATATTTTAAAAATATTAATATAATTATATTATAAATAAAATAAAATACAATTAGTAACAAATAAATAAAAACATTTAATTAATTGGTATTAATTATTCTTTAACAAAAAATAGTTTTATAAATAAATAGATATCTATTGTTACTGATCATAAAAAGTTTTCATATTACGGTTGGCATTAGTGATAGTATTATCATTGTTTACAATTTGTTGCGTTTAAAGAAATGTAACAAATTAATTTTTCGGAAAGAAATTTAATATTTCAATGAAATTATTTTCATAAAATGGCAGATGATAATGTTCTTTTCATACGGGGAAATGGAAATGTACGTGTACATTTTTAATATCAAATTTAGGTTATAATTATTAATAAGTTAAATATAAGATATTCGTAAATAATTTATTGTTTTTAAAAGAGCACAGAGCATAGTGAAGATGTATGGGATGATAGTGCATTAATAAAAGCGTATGATAAAGCAATAAACTTAGCAAAAGAAGAAGTTGGCAAGCGTATGGGAATAGGCATTAAAAATTCTGAATGCAAACAAAAGTTACAAAAGCAATCTAAGCTTACAAGCAAACAATACAAGGTCATGATTTTAATATAATTTTATAAATTTAATTAATTTTAATTTAATTCTATAAAGTGAAAGAGAAATTAAAAAATCATTCAGTATATTAAAAAAGAATATTATTTTATTTTGTTTATTTATGATATTAATATATATATTTAAATTTTTTATGAATAGAAATGGATTGTAGGAGCACCTTGTCGTGCAGTATACTCAGAAGATGGTGAAATTTATGAAGCAATAATAACAAAAATTTATGAAAATAATGGAACTTGTATTGTAAAATTTGTAGGTAATATTTTTAATCTGATTGTAATGTCAGTTAAAAAATATATTAAAATTACATACATATAATATTTTATAAATTTTGTAACTTGTCAAATGACAAGATTTTTTTTTAATATGTTTAGGTTATGGCAATACGGAAAAAGTAGAATTGAATTCTCTTCTAGAATCAGAAGGTTTACAAAGTCAGATAGCTCAACAAAAAAATGCTGTGGAACATAAATTTGATGAAGAAAATGAAGAAATTAGCGAATCAAATTTTTCTATAAATATGAATTCAAGAAAATATAGTGGAGAAAAAATGGATTGTGAATCTGAAGAAACAAAAACTTACAAACATCAATTTATGCCTGGAACATCTTTTAATTTAATGGCAGATACAATGCCACCTGCACCTCCTTTACCACCACAATTAATGGCTAAGTAAATAAAAGTTTTATGCAATGTTTTCTAAGTATTTTGTATTTATTCATGTAATTGTAATATTTATTTTAAAAAAATATAAATTTAAATAAAATTTGTTAGATTACCAGATAATGATGCAGAAGCACTTTCGAGTATGTTAATGTCATGGTATATTAGTGGTTTTCATACAGGTAAATTATTTAAAAATTTATTTTATATGAAATTTAATGTATGTTAGAAATAGATGTTATAATGTTTGTTTTACAGGTTATTATCATGGTTTAAAACAAGCAGAGAAGAATCAAACAAAAAGGAAAAATTGTTAATTATACATTCTTTTAACATGAAATACAATTTTTATATAATAAGAATAATAATATTGATATAAAAAATCACTATTTATTTCATTCTTTCATTTTATAATTTATTGAAATCTTAATACTAATTATAGTAAAATATAATATATATTAATTATTATTTGAAATAGAAATATAAATTTTATTTTATTAGTTTTCATTAGATTTTATTTTTCCAAAAAATAATTTAAAGATTATAAAATACAAAGATATATGTTATTATATAATATATACAGGGTATCCCAAAAATATTGAAATATCCGTAAACTGGAGATTTCTGAGGTAATTTCAAGTAATATTTTTCTTTGTAAAAATTTTCATTACAGTTTTATTAACAAATTATTAACAAAAAAACAATAGCCAATCATAAAGCACTAATCTAATAATTCCGTAATAGTAGCATTAGCTATGTGCGGCAATTTGTTAATAAAATTGTAACGAAAATTTTTTACAAAAGAAAATGTTTGAACATGTTATTTTTACTTCAAAAAATTTCTAGTTTATGGATATTCCAATATTTTTGGGACATCTCATACATATAAATTTATTATATATATATTATATATTGTATAATATATAATATTAATTTTTATTAATATATTTTTTAATATAACTTTTAATATAAAATTTAAAAAATTTAAGTATAATAGTATTTTAATTGGTTGGTTTTTATTAGATTTGATTATTTGTTATTTATATTTGTATCCCAGTTATCATATATATTCGTATTTGTTACTGTAGGTACTGTTTCTTTAAGCAATTCTTTTAATATTTCAATATTCCTTAATTCATATTTCAAATCTGTAATGAATATTTCTTTTTTTTCAAGATTTTTCCACATTGGAGTTACTTCTAACATCCATGCTTGTTTACAAAGCAATTTTATGTCTGCACCGGAATACTGTTTAGTATAATTCATTAAAAAATCTACAATATTTTTATTCTTTAACAAGTTATCACTGAGATATAATTTGAATATACCAAGTCGAGTAGCTTCATTGGGTAATGACACATATATTCGTTTCTCAAGACGTCTAAGTAAAGCTGAATCAATATTCCTATCAAACAAAACCATTGTTATAAAAAATTTTAACAAATAGATAACATAATAAAAAAGAATAAAAAATATTTTAAATATAAAAAATTTTTTATGTTTTTTAAATAAAAATTCTATTTGAATATAATAATATGTAATATATATGTAATGTAATATATAATATAAGAATCTTTTTCGTAAGATTTATATATTTCTCACATATTTTTTTTATTAATATTATTACTGTTACGCATTTTTATTGATTGCATATCTTTACCACGGAGAATTAGTTGCAGCTAGAAGAAGTACGTTTGAATTATCAGTAGATACTAATCCATCCAACTTAGTAAGAAGTTCTGATCTAAATCTTTTTGCAGGTTCAGATAATGAATTATTTTGTACATTTGTAGCTATCCAATCGATTTCATCTATGAAAATAATTGTGGGCGAATGGCTATAAGCAAGATCGAATAAAACCTATTCAGAATAAATTTATTTCATTATATATATAATGTAATTATTTTTTAAACTACTGTTTTATACAAATATTCTATTAAAATATATATATTAAATCAGATGTTCCATATAACTTTAATTATATCATACGCTTCTCTAGAGCGTAACTTTTATCTAAAATATTTTTTAATATTTTCAAAAATAAGTGAGATATTTCAGATAATAAAGTTACATGATTACCTGATATACAAGATCTTTCTTTTATACAGGACAACTTACACGTATGTACTTTTCGGAATCACCTCTCCATTTACTAACTAAGGAGCTAGCTGTTATATTAAAAAAAGTGCATTTGCACTCTGTTGCTACAGCTTTCACTAACATTGTCTTGCCTATTTCATCAATTTTTTTATGAATATTTTTATTTATTTGTATGTGGAAGAAATGATGAATAAATATCTTACCTGTGCCAGGTGGTCCATATAATAGAATACCTTTCCAAGGCGAAAATGGACCGGCAAAGAAGACAGGATATTTAAGAGGATATACAATAGCTTCTTTAATAGCTGTTTTACAGTCATCTAAACCTACTACATCATCCCAATGAACATTTAAATTCTCCAATACAATCTCCTATATTACAAAAGATACGTTATTTGCGAAGAAATTATAATATTCAAATTTTGTTTTTGTTGCTTGTATTTTTATATATACTGTATTATTATATATACATTGTTATAGAATTATTATCAATTAAATTGATATTTTATTACATGTGATATGTCGATGGCGATTTTTCGCAATTCCGAATTTGCTGAATATAGTTTTTCGATACATTTCCATATTTTCGATTGCATAAATTTTTCTTTTGGGATGTCAAATTCTTCTGATGAAACTTTAACTATGTTCTCGTTGGGGAAAATTGGTTTTACTGTCATTGCAAGATTAATATTATTTATCTCATTATTTATTTCTTGTTGTATACTATTTTCTTTCATTAATTCACTTTGCGATTGTTTGGTAGCAGGCATTGTAACTTTTGTCTTACTTTTTCTGCAAAAATCATTTATCATAATTCTATTAGAAATCTATTATTATTAGTTTTATTATGAAACAATTTGATTACTCATAATTATATTTAACAAATAATAAATAATTTTAATAATTTTAATGAGTTTTTGAAAATAAGCGCATAAAATAAAAAAATATTACGAAGGAAAAAATTAAAAATTTTTTAACTGAATAATTTAAGTAAACAAAACTTACTTTTTATCTATATTTGTTGTATTTTTTTTACAAAACATAGGATATTTATTGAATTTCATATGATAATAACTTTCAAATTCCATTATAATTCTTTCTAAATCGATATTATCGCAAACCTGAATTTCGGAAACAAGTTCAGCTTCGGAGATTAATGTTTCGCAAGTATCTGTATAACTGGAAAAAAATTCTTTAAATATTGTTTAAAATGATGTTTAAAATGGTGATTGTCGTATCTAATAATTATATATAATAATATACATAAAAATAATTTAATATTATTAAAGTTAAATTTATTTATATATAATATATATTTATTTATATATTAAGTATTGATTTAAAATTATGTTAATATTGATACAAAGGACAATGATTTCATTGTCAATTCATTGAAAATTTAATAAAAATATTTATTATTAATTTATTATTAAAATCATAAGATATAAATATTTTTTATTTTTAATTAAATATATATTTTTTAAGAATAGAAATTTTGCAAAATATATATGGACCAGAAGAATAAATAATGAGAAAAGAATAGAGATAAGATAAAAATTGTAGAATCAGCTTCATTTCTAAAGTTCACAAATGAAATATAATTTAAAAGAAGAAATATTAGAAGAATAAAGACAAGAATTGATCATCAGCATTATTTTTTGAACATCAAAGAAATCTCTTCAGATAAAGTAATTGAGGTTTATCATCATTTTTTAAATTTTAAAGATATCTTTTAAAAATATTCAAAAGATGACGCTAATCTTCAATTCTTGCTGTTTTTCTAAATGTATTTTATTTGCAACATCTAGAGATGGCGTTGATTTTCAAATTTTTATACTATCTTTGTCCTTTCTGCATTCTTATTCTTGGTATTATATTACCGTGTTATTACAAATAAAAAAACGAAATATCCATTCAAAATTCATAATTTTTCTTTCAAAATTATAATATTATCTTAATATATATCTTAATTTTCAATATAAAAATATAAATATTAGATTTTGCTACACAATCTACATAGCTTTTTGAAATAGATATTTTATTTGACCTAGAATTTGATTTTTATTTTTATTTTTATTAAGATATATCCATTTAAAAAGTAATATATATTATTTATATGTCAAATATTTATAAAAATATTAATTATTGAATATTTATAAAAAAAGGATGTAATTAAATTATTTTAAATTTGTAAATATTTTGTATTTATAAATATTTTGTTTTATATAAATTAATAAGTTAAAATTGAGTAGTTTAAATGATTTAATATATCAAAACATATATGTATATATATTCAAGAAAAAATTTTAAATGAATAAATTTAAAATAAGAAAAAAATTTATATTATAATACTTACTTATTTTCATTCAGATAATCATATATAAGATATAATATATTTTGACGACGTTGTAAAATACGACTCTCTTCCTAATTAAAAATTAATCAATTAATTAATTAATAATCTTTATAAAAAATTTTATAAATATTTTCCCTCGCTTTTTCACAATAATGGAAGAACAAAGTACTATTTTTTTAACAATTTTTTGTTTATTTATTTTAATATTTATTTTTCAATTGTACATAAATTATAATACGAAAAATAGAAACAAAAATGTCGTAACAAACAAATAAAATTAAAAAAAACTGTACTTTTTATTTTAAAGTTTTGTACAGTTTTGTAGGCTGTAACATTTTCTTACCTCTTTTCGCAAACCATGACGCATCTTATTTATGCTTCCTTCCATAGACAAAACACTCATGATGATTATGATGAATATAATATTGATATTTTTCGATAAGCAGAAAAAATCCTGTTAACTCTTTTTTACCAAAAATAAATCTAAATATCTTATTTTATCTGTCTGATAGACAATAGAGTAAATGACAATACCGTAAAAACTACAAATCCGTAAAAACAATCCGGAAAAATATTATTCAAAGATTCAAAAGTAATCTCGATAAGAGATAATTATTATGACATTCATAAGAATCATTCATAAAGAATCGAAGACTTGTTTCAAAACATAGATTCGTTGCTATGGTGATGTTAATTCCGTATTAGTTCACATATATATTCTATAATACAGCTTACGTGATAACTTTACATATACTGTAGAATAGATGTGAATATAATGCCATGCTGTAGAAATTTTAAGCCGGATTCGCACGTCAAAAAGCGTTAAAACGGATGTTAAATCTGTTTTTTCAACAACTGTCATAACATAGATGTCACTTGTGTAACTATTTCTATGCTTAGAATATAATACTACGATAAATGTTACAAAACGTAATGTTTGTTTTTGACGCTTATTTGATCCTTGCCTTAATGGATAAAAATCCTATACTCCAAATCTCTTTTTCAAAGATGCTAGATATCTTTAAAAATAATGAGTATTTAATTAAAGTAACGAGGATAAATGATGATTCTGAGAATGCATGTGGATTCTCAGATGTGATGTTTAGAGATTTCACGTGGAAAAAATATTTAGTTACTAGAAAATAAATTGAAGAAATAACTAAAAGAAAATAAATTGAAATTCTAATTTATTTTAATGTAATAAAAATAAGTAGACTTTCATATTTTAATAATCGTAATACAAAATAGTATATATATATATAGTATAGTATATATATATATACAATAACTTTAATAAAAAATTGTATTTAAAAATTGATAATTTCTTTTGCTTTTGTTATTAATATTCTTTCTTTTCATCAAATTATTAACGCATTCTTTTTTTCTCGTTTCTCGAAATTTTTTTCCCTTCTTTGTTGTTTGAATCTTTGAGACTCTTTGTTTAAGTAACTAGCTTCCGGATATTCTTTATCGTTCAACGTTACAAATCTTTTAGATTTCCTTAGGCTAGTTGTTATTATCAGATTGCAGGAAGCTTGATGATTTTTTCAAATATTTAAAAATAGTATTTTTAAGAGAAAAAATACTTAACTTATAAATATAAAAATATTTGATTATAATAAATATATATACTTGATGAAAAGATAAAGACATTATAGATATCAAATCATCACATAATTTGGAAATTATTCTATTATTTTTTCCAAGAATAAATAATTAATAAGAATATTAAAATGGCATTTTTGCAAAATACCTAAATCTTAAGATGAAATTTTTTATTTCAATTTTCGGTATAATTTTTTGAACTTCCCATGATAACATGATAAGACTATTCTTCAAACTATTGCAAACTATTGCTGTATATGACTTTCTTATTCACACTTTCGAACCAATTGTTAGAACAATACTTCTCCTTAGAATAGTATTCGCAAGAAAAATTGTTGACTGCAATCAAGATATCACTGCATATCGTGGACGAGTCAAAAACGATAACTGATGTTGCAGGTGCACCAGTGCGTTGCGGCCGTCGGAGTTGGCTTTGACGCCGGTGCCGAGGAGAGGCGCAGAACGTGTTCGATCGACCCGCGAACGCAGCCCGTGCTCACACTGCGACAGAGTTCACTTCGGTTAGTCGCTGTTTGCCCGTCAACCGCGTATGGTCGTATTGGTTTGTGATTTTTTGCTTCCCATTCGTGAATCTTCTTCCGACAACCGGCCTACACGTCGCCACTTTATCGTACGATTATTGTTCTTCATATCATTCTTCTCATATCCGATTTCGTCATAAAAAAAAAGAGAATTGTTCGTTCCGATCTTTGTTATTTGGAGGGAATATACATTGTACGAACACATGGACTGCGATACACGAGGAATGATCGAGACATCGACGTGATGCACTTTCGAGGTAAATTAAAATTGTTTTCTTAATGAAGTTATTTTTCTTATTTTCCTTGTTTACTATTTTTCTTTTTTTTTTTCTTTTTAGATTAAAAATTTTGTGACATGCAAAATATTTTTTCAAGGAAAATTGTAATTTAAAAAAATCTTAATAGAATGTTTTAATAATTAATTAAATTTCATAGCGTAAAATGATGTAGTTGTAAATATGAAGAGGATGATTTGATTTTATAGGGACCGAAATATCTTTTAAGGAAATTTAAAATTTGGAAAACTTATATAAACTTTTTTTGATACGATATTATAATAATAAATATAAAAATAACGATTTGGAAGACATATGTTTTCTTTACAAATTCAATTCGTATTTACGATAATTAAGACTTTCTTGTTTCTCTTGGTGTGTAAAAATTAACGGATTATTAGATTATAATAGAAAATTAATTTTTTATATAATAATAATTTATTAAATGTAATGGATAAAATGGTGCTTTTATTATTTCTTTTTTCTCCATTTTATTTATATAAGAATTATTTAAATTCTGTTAGTATCATATGTTATAACAAAACATTTAAATTAATTTGATCCGTTTATCAAAGTTACGGAAATCCATGTACAAATCGTAAATCGAAACACGTATGAAAATCTTTAAAAAATTTTTTTTCAAAATTATTTTTTAAAACTATTTTCTTAAAGATTAAAATTTTTTATTTTATATTCTACATTTTTTTTTCTTATTTTACAAATTCGAATCAATGTAACGATATAATTAAATTAATAATGGAAATTAAGATTACTATGATGTTTCGAAAAGATTATAAAAATGAATATTTCTGAAATTATAACAATGATAATTTCACTTTTTTATTCATTGAGATTTAATTATCACATTAAAAAAATAGAATTAAAGTATTCAATTGTTTTGATTATCGCATTTTATAATAATAAAAAATATTATATGAAAATATAATATTATATAAAAAATATTATATATATATATTTATTTACGAATAAGATCAATCAAATTAAAATGAAATTATGATTCTCCAATCCATCATTTATTCATAACTTTAAATTAGTACTTCTAAATGACCAGTTTTAATCACTAGATGGCAGAATCGTGATTCAGTGATAGAGCTTTAATATACGGTAAACATTCTAATATACATAAGTGCTTGTAAGGCTTCATTGTAAGCATTACTGATAGCAGCGTTTATAATGAAATATAAATAAATAAAAATATATATTAAAATTTGAACTGAAATATATTACATTCAATTTTTAATATGAGTGCAATTAAATAAAATCACAATTTATAATATATAGCAAAAATCGACGTTTTAAATTAAAATAAAAAAATCGTAATTTTTAATAATCGAAATGAATTGATCGTATAATAAAAATTGAGAAATTTAATAGAAATTTTAATAAATTTAATAATATACGAGTAAAAAAGAAAATAATTTTTTATATTTAAAATTCATAGAAGAAAAAAAAGCAAGAAATATTTTCATTCGATAAAAATTGTTCAATATATGTTAAATGATTATATATATTAAAATTTGAAATAAAAGAAATATTTGTTTAATTAATTAACAAATGTTAAAGTGCAAGATTAATTAATATCCAGAATGATTCATATATTTTATATATTCAATGTTTAATAAGAGGAGATTTTGATACCTGAAAAGTCGAGAAATAATTAAATTCAACCGCTTCGTTACATATGCAATTGTGCATTCGCATTTGTACATTATATTGTATTATATTTAAGAATACGTATATATATACTTATTATACCCTTAAATGTGTACGTGATGGAACGAAAGATAATAACTCTTCTTTTTCCTTTCGCTTATTTTATATAGTGATTGTGTTTTATATAATGAATTAATTTAATTAATTAAATTAAATTAAATTAATTAATTCATTATTTAAATAATTAATAAATAAATTAATTAATAAATTAATAAATTAAATTCGTTAAATAAAATTAATGTAGCTTAACATGAAATGATAGCTATAACGATAGTATTGGTATTGACGTCAGCTTCTCAAAATTTCTCAAGTATCGAGGTCGACTATTTGGGTTAAGAATTTATTTCCAAGGTTCTATAAGTACAAATGCTGCATGGATATGAAATTTCCAATATATTTTTTAGTAATAATCATATTGAATATTAGTAAAATATTTTTTTCCATCTTTATCGTTCGTCTTCTATTTTCATTATTTTTAAGATATACATGTACGTATAATTGTATTATAAATTAAGAAAAATAATATATACTTTGTTTATCTCATTATTTTCGATAGTCGAGAAATTGACGATTTGAAATTGAATTACTTTTGAAAAATTCTTGTATGAAATATCTTATGAAATCAAGTATAGAAAAATCATATTATTAAAAAATTAAATTTTAAGAGGATTTCTATAACAATCGTGTTACGTAATTATTTCTTAACAATTTATCAATTCAACTGATTAAAAAATACCGTTATTTAATATTTAAAATAATCTTCGAATTGATCATATTATGTTAAATTAAACAATATCATGTTGGAAGTCGGAAAACATCGTAGAAATCGGTGAACGCATTTGCCTTGTGAACGTGTAATGCGTAAATAATAGATTAGGTGATGGCAATCATGTGTATAACTGCTTTGTCTTGCATACTGTCCTATTCAATAGTCGAGCATATACTATATGAATCGCAATCATCGTTGTAAATTCAAAGTTGGTGAAGTTTGTTTCGTCCCATTTTTTTAATCAAACTAACTGGATCGACGATTCGTATCAATTTCGAGCATTGTTACGCTTCGGACAATTTTAAAGCATGCTTCGTCGATTCATTCGTTTTGTAACATAGATCCTCTGACCAATAAATTAAAACTTGAATTAATTGATTTTCAATCCGTTTTTTCTTTTCCTTCTTTCCTCTCTTTTTCTTTTTACTCTAATGTAAAATTAATATACATAATAAATAATAAATTACATATCACAGCCAAATATTTGTAGATTTCAAAAATTCTATCTGAGTCTTACAAATTTTATTTAATTCGTATTTTAAAATAATTTTGAAGTTTGAAGATTTGAAGTTCAATTTTCCAAAATACAAATGTGTATCCTGTGTGTTTATGAAAGAAAAGTGCAGTTTTATCAGTTAAATAAGTTTTATCAATGTTAATAGAAAAAATAAGACAATTTGTCATTTACCTGAGTCATCAATGTTGTCCAATTTAAATTCTTAAATCTTGAAGGCTTTCTCCTTTTCTTTTTACATTAAAATTAATGAATAATGAATTACATATCACAGCCAGATATTTGTAGATTTCAAAAATTTTGTCTGAGCCTTACAAATTTTATTCAATTCTTTTAAAGTAATTTTGAAGTTTGAAGTTCAATTTTCCAAAATGCAAATGTGTATCCTGTGCGTTTATGAAAGAAAAGTGCAGTTTTATGAGTTAAATAAGTTTTATCAATGTTAATAAAAAGAATAAGACAATTTGTCATTTACCTGAGTCATCAATGTTGTCCAATTTAAATTCTTAAGTCTTGAAGGCTTTCTTAAGAGTGTTGATTGATAACTTGCTATGTTTAAGAGTCACGTTGCTTAAATAAAATAGAGCTGGTTCGATATCAATTGATTCCACAAAATTAAAACCCCAATGATTTGTTGTACAAAGTTAATTTCTGGATCTTGTACAGAGAAATTAATTTTTTTGCTGTAATAATTAATACAATTAATGATTATCTTTATCCAAGCTTCTGATATAATTATTTTGTATAAATCTATTATAAATCTATATTGATGTAAATATAATATTCATAAAAATTGAAAAGACAGTTTACAGAATATTCCAGAATATTTTATATTTATTATATTTTTATTTCTTCGAATCACAAATTTCTAATTCAAAGACTTAATCCTGTATCTTGATTATCATAGGTTCATCCCTAATATACATAATAATGAACCGTTTATAGCAATCCCGTTTGTCATCCTACACATTCCAGAAACTCGATAATTCACCAGGTTGCCGCTTTAACCGTACAGAAAAACCTACATCTATAAATAATTGATGGCTATTAATATTGCATCGACTTTTGAAAGTTCTTGATACAATCTATTTTATACCATGTTGAAATAAATCGAGGTTGCTGATCGACCTTTATCAGAGTTGGATAAATCGAGTAGTTCAAACGATAGTTCCAAAAAAAAAAAAAAATTTGGAAATTAAATACCTATCGCAAAAAAAAAAGAAAAAGAAATGCAGAAACTAAACAAAGTTTTAGGCGTCGATTATAACGTGATGAAGTTTGATGTTATATGAGTGTAATTATAAAGAACTAGTGATTTTATCTGTTTATCTATTTACAAGAATGCAACAATAAAAGTGTTTTTTAGTTTTTGTTCGTACGATAAATATTCTGCTTCATTGACGTAACGACAATGTACATAGACGTCATCTAATCGATAACAAAAATACATAAAAAAAAAAAAAACTATGAATAATATGAAACGCGTTTAAACAATACGATTCTGGTTAAAGACATGAATTTAATTAAAAAAGAATCAAAATTTATCGTCAATGTTTTTATCGTTAAAGTTTCTTTGAACTTAAAGAACTTTTCAAAATTTATCGTTAAGAATACTTGTCTATATTTGATTTCAATGCCATTTTTCAATTATACAAATTAGTCTAATTATAGCTATTATTTAATATAAAATTATTAAGATAAATTTTATATTAAATCTTTTTAAATCGATTAATATATAAGTACGTGAATATTTAAAATATGAATGAAATATGAATATTCATGAAAAAAAAAATATATATATATATAAAGCTTAGTGATATTAGTTTAATCTAATTTAATCCCTTTTTTTATGACAGAATTGATCAGAATGTTATTGTTGCATAAAACAACATTTTATTATATAATAACAAGCATATAATTTAATACAATTTAATATTTTTCAATTCTTTAAATAATACAATTTCGTAGTTATAGATAAGTATTACGAATTTTTTTAATGAGAATTTTATAAAGTACAAGAAGAAATATAAAATATGAATATTAATTTTTACTTTACTTTTACTTCACTTTTATATATTTTTTAACAAAAATTTTACCAGCAAACAATTCGAAAATTCACGATAAAAACACTTTTTGATAAAACATGGATGAAATCGGCTAAATCGGATGAAAACTCGCTGACCTGCATTGAAAAAAATTCTCTCGAGAAACGAAAAACGAGTTTGAAAAAAAAGGTTAACTTCACCACCATCGATTGGAAAACACTTTTTTACAATTTTTGCCAATTTGACAGAATATATTACACGAGTAAATAAACAATTGTATAAATAAAAAGAAACAAAAAAAAGAAAGGTAAAATGAAAGTTTGATTTTCTGAAATGTTAATGTTAATGCGATACAGAACTGTCAGCGTCAAGCAATTTCCATGCTTTTGCCTCTCGCGGAAACGGTTCTACTCGTTAAGAAAAAAAATAAGAGGGGGAAAAAAGCTTTTAAAATGCTGGAAAAGCGTGCGTTGCCACACATAGCGTTTGTTGTCGCGTGAAACTACGACGCAACTATTTATTACTCGGTTTTCGAGGTTTTTAGCCGGGGACACGTGTCGTTGAAAGCGTTCGTAAATTTCATGAATCAAAGGAATAAAGAAACGCGAAAGTACTGATTGTCAAGGACCGTTTCTTCTAGAAAAGAATTTTAAGCATGCTGCTGTAATAGTTGCTTTTTGTTCTTTAAAAAATTTTTAAAAAATTGATTCTTGGATACATGTGAGAGTAAAATTCTCGAAAATTCTCTCATGGGACTATTTTTTTTCTTTTTTTCAGTGGAAATGATACGTTGAGAATGATTTCCGAGAGAGATGATTTTCACTCTCAACCCAGTGTTCGAAAAAAAAATTATCCCGAGAACAACTTGTAAAAAATTTACTCTTAAGTTTATCCTTACATTTATCTATTGTTTTTTTTTGTAATGATGAATTGTTAATTGTTAAGATTAAAATAATCATATGTTAAATTATATAAGAAAAGTGGATATATTCAACGTATAGACATAATACGTTGCCTAGTTAAATTACTATTGAATAATTGAATAGTGAACTGAATAATTGGCTTCGATGAATAATAATCAGTGTTTCATGCGCGAATGAATATTTAAACCCAAGTTCAAATGTTTGATGTTTCCGCCATTTGCATTATTTTTAGAAAGAGATGGCCCCGTTACGATAAAGGTTAGACAAGTGACGTTAGCCTTTTCTTGTTGCGTTCTTACTTATTGTTAGGATAATCGATCCTGCGATTGCGATTACGACAGAGTCTAAGAAAGAATGAAACATTGGATCCGTTCATTTTTTTTTAAAGCACGTTTTTCACCTGGACTTCCCGCATCACCGTGTCAAAATTCTATCCTAGATAACTAATGACATAAAATAGATATTATATTTGAACATTTTTCAAGTATTTAAAATAAAAATTGTGATAAAAAAAGAAATGAACAATAAGAGTAATTTAGAAAATAAGGATTAGAAAAAGGAGAAGCATTATGATATACTCTAATTCTGAAAAAAATTAAAAAAAAGCTTAGTTGTTAATCTGGAAAGAGTCCAAGCGACAATTTCAGACATTTACAGGCAATCAAGCAGCCGGTTAAGGTCGCGAACAAAGCAATTATCCCACGTTAGTATCAATCAGGATAATCCCACGCGAAATTGATCCAACTACTTGAAAATACGAATGTTCTGATTTCTATCGCAGATAACATACTCCTGGCTGCCGTTGCAGTGCATGCACAGTGGTTGTTGGAATAACTACTTTTCATCTATCTAGCCTCCCCGGTGGACATCGTTCTTTGATCTTCTGTGGCCAACTCAATCGAGGACCATGAAGAGTAGTTCGAGCCTCTACTCGAAAATACTCGTGTGGGTATTCTATCTGCCCGCCATTCTTCTTCTTCTCCTTCCGTCGAGGGCCGGTAAGTCGAGAGTTGAACAGTTCTGTAATCGATACAGATAAAATCAGTTTCAATATGCACGAATTTCATAATTCATCGATTCGAAAATTTCGTATTTCAATTAACTCGTTTTATTTTCTGTATTTTTATACTTAAATTAGTTTGAAGTTTTAATATGTGTACAATGTAATGGAAATTGAATATTAAACAATAAGTTTTACTTTAAGTCACATTAATTACATAAAAAAATTCTAACAATTATTTATTTCTTCGTTTTAAAATTTTGCTCTTCTATATAAAGTTTTAATCATCAAATTTCTAATCGAATAAATGAAATCTTTTAACACGCATAGAGACGTACATACACAATATTCGAATAAGTATTATATGATGTATTAATTAATAACTTCGGCCGAATTGGTTGATTTAATCAATTGACTTTGCGTTCGAATTTATCGAATATTACCGACATTGAAAACTATCCGATCTTCATTGTAATTAATTGTTAATCCGTGCGTGGGATCGAAACGATCCGACCTTATTCCACAATGTTAAATAATAGGATGGAGACAGAAATTAATAATTTTCGTATCAATTGTTCAATCGTGTTCACAAATTCAAACGTGCTTGAATGACGGAAACCATTTATAATACTGTCGTGCCATAGTCATATGTATATATCTCATGCTCAATTCGAGATGGTGAATTTTTCTTTTTCATCAAATTTATCTTCCAATTAATTACATATATTCTGTATTATATAAATGATATTATAATGATAAATATTTAATTAAAGTGGTCAATCGTTCTCAATGTTTTTTAATATATTGTTAAGATTATCACATCCAGTGTATCCACCAAATCCAGTGTAGATTTAATTAGATAGAGATTAAATAAATTTTTGTTCGGTTATAATAAGTTAATTTATGTTAATTCCAAGTTTAATTTCTCCTAAAATTAAATAAAAATTCATTAGCCAATTTAACAATTTGTGTTTGGATTAATTTTCTTAAATTTGATCACTATCAATTGTTTATTGTAATAAACTTACCTCAAAACTAACCTAACTTAACTAAACTATTTTGAAAGAACATTTTTATCGTAAAATCCTAAATAAAAAAATTTTTGATATAACAATATATAAGCGATTAAAATTTAAATATTATTTCAATAAAGGATCTAATGTTATTAAAATATTGATGCTTGTAAATAGAATAATAATTCCATGAAAACGTACCATGAAAACCATGAAAACTGCAATGCGGATCTATCGAACAAAAATTAGTGCGCACGATAATTAACAACACATGCAACCGAGCATGCAACCAAGTATCGAAGACATTCAAGTGAAAATCATTTTTCAGCCGCGTTGGAGGAGAATTGCACGGATTTCCAAGGAGCGATCGTTCGACACGGTCTCCTTTATGTACCAGGACCTGCGGTTTGCAGTCTCTGCGTCTGTTACCATTCGGAACCAATGTGGTGTCAGTCCATCTTCTGCACACCACCTTACGTGAGTACTTGTTCGTTCAAAACACTTGCTGCAAGCAGAAATAAATAAAGTGCAGTATTAATAATCAAACTTGTCAAATTATATTTCTTTTTATTTTTTTTTTTCATTATTATTAAAAACAGCTTACAGGTGTCGTCGATTTAATTACTCTTCAGTTTTTATTGTGACAATATAATTTTAATAATTCTCCGTTTACAATAAATTCCAGCTTTGTTTCATCTATTGATGATAGATGCAAATTTATCCTTACTTTCTTAACCACTTTTGGAACCATTTACGTTTCTGTAAAAAAAAATTACTTTTGAGAGAAATTGGTTTATAATAATTGGAGTGTCGAATTCGTTACGGGAATCAATATATATGCACGTGCTTTTTACTGAAACTAGGTTAACGATTCGTTATTCATACGTTGCCTTATATTTCAAACTTACAATATTTACACAAGAAATTTCATCTTAAAAATTATTCAGAAATTGAATTTAATAAAAATTCGAAATAAAATACAAAAAAAAAAATAAATTAAATGATTGCAAATTTAACGCGAAACCGATCTAAAAATATCGTGGAATTAACGGATCAATTACTCGAGATTAAAAAGTGAAAGAAGAAAAAAAGGGGGAATCTTTGAATGCACGACACTTGTAAAGTCCATGGTTCGTGAAATTGGCGAGTAATTCAATTAAACGAAATTAAAACGACGGTTTAAATCTGTTTTCAATGGCGAGCTCCGAAGTTCTATCTTTTGGAATTTTTAATCAGCGAACCTTTTCTTACATTAGCAACCGTTTATATAGTCGATGAAGCAGATAAGAGGGCTGCTGTAACTTTGTTGTTAATTTTCAAATCATTCAAATTGAAAAAAGAATTGAATTGAGTCGATCTCAACAAAAATAAACAATGTATCTCTTGTAACTCTCTTCCTTTTCCTTTTTTTTTTTTTTTTTTTTTTCTTTTTTCAATTTCTTCTCTGAACAGATAAGGACGTTTAGAAAAGTAGAAATTAGCGATGTGTGTGATCTCGGGCTAATGAATATTTTTTTCCATTGGGAGATTTATACGCTTCACCAGTTATCTAGACTTTTCTTCTGCGCGACATTGAACGAACAAATGAATAATAAATATTACGGATGCAACCATTGCTCTCGATCTAGGCCATCCTTTCCTTCCTCGACTTTTTTTCTTTTTTTTTTCTTTTTTCTTTTTTTTTTTTTTATTAATCAAGGAAAGGAAAATTCGTTCGTTCGAGAAATTACGGTTCGCAGGAAATTGTATTACATCGCCTGGAATTACGTTACTCGATTATTCTCACCCGTTTCTTAATAAATCGATGATGTAGTAATAATTTTCGATACAATACTTGCATTTCATTCGTTGCGAAAATTAAAAAGAAAGTCTTGAGGGGCGAAGTGTTCGTTCGTGAGATAACGTTGTCAGAAATCAATAGAAGATGCTGACGACATTTGTTGTTTCCGTAAACAGAAGGCTAATTTATTTAGGAATTGTCTTTAACACGATTGCTATCGGTAATACAGTTAATATTCACTTTATTGAATTTTTCATTCAATGTGACATCTTCGAACTCCTAATGAGATTCTTGTTGTAAAATCGTGCCTTCTACGACTGCCGTATTTTTTTCTCGGTTTTCTTCTTCAATTGAATAAAACAGATTATTCATTGCTATCTAACCGATTTTTAACAAACTTTTTAAATATTTCGATCAGAATAATTGCTTTTTCATTTTTTAAAAAATTGATATACGTGATTTTTCGATCAAAGAAGAAGAAAATAAATTGGATGATGATTATATTGAGAAATAATGATTTCGAAGTATCAATTTTTAAAGCACGTGTGTCTTGAGCTTATTTAATACAAGTAATAATTTCTTTAAAAGATGAAATGGATAGTGACAAAATTCGTGTAAAAATATTTATTTTTAATAAAAAGTGTCTCCGAAGATTTTATTCTCATATTTTCAATCTACATATTCCTACTATGAAAATCCTATTAACGGTAATTACATGTTGTCACAACGTGTATTCTTCTGGAGAGATTATGTATCATGTAATTCGTAAGCGAAGAAGAATATCGAAGAAAATTCTCATAGGTTTCCCCTTGTTTAAGCTCGAATCAAGGAAATCCTATTTTCAATAGAAGGATTACTTCTTTGTACAATCTATGAGATGTTTGATGCTTGGTTTTTTTAAATACATACGCACATATATAATATAATTGCTGTTGTAACGTTGCAGTGTAAATTCAATTTTAATTCCGCAATTTCCGCGTTGCGTAGCAAAAGCGTAAAATCAATATCACATACAACGTTTTCTTTGCATTAGCGGATTTCAAACATGTCACATATTTCTTCGATTTATGTTGCAAAAACGTTCGTGTTGTTTAATTGTAAATAATTATCGTGGATATATTTAGAGAAAGTTTGAATAATCTCACTTTCAATCAATGTACTTTTTTTTTTTATAATAAATTTTTTTTTAATAATAAATTTTTCTTTTATGAATATCTATTCTGTACAAAAAATGAGTAAATGGCTATTGGAACGATAAGAGATAAAAGATTATATTAAAATTGATGCCAGTTTCACTTTTTATTTATATTATTTGAATATGATTTTCAGTGATAAGTTTTTTTTTTAATAAATATCTATTACAAGAATAATCAAGACAAAAAGAGACAAAAGAAACAATTGTTAAAAAAATTTTATATAAATATCACTGTTCCTTGTTATATCTCGATTTTTTCTTTATTTTGTATACATTGTATATTTTTTGTGAAATATAATATTGCCACGTATCTTGTCTTTGGTTACAATCGTTATTTTCCAGTTAAACGCCTCGAATCACGTAGCTTATCCCCTTTTACTCGACATTTAGGCCACCTGATCGCATGCGATAAGTTTTATGCTAATCTTGTTCGATTATAATATCTTTCGTTTACAAGAAAACGACGAGACTAGCGAATTGCATGCCTTTCGAAACAAAGTACTTGTCGTAATAGTCAAACTTTAACCAATTTTGAGTTGTTCTTATACCATTTGCTTGTACCATTTTTGATGAAAATAGAACACGTAGAACATTGTGTTCCATTTGATAATTTTCTGAATTTTTGACATCTTGGAAGTATATGTGCATAATATATGACGGATAAACAGCAGGCCTGTTTTGAAAGGATGAGAACTGAAAAGGTTATATCGTTTGACGCGATTTTAACTCGATGTCGATATTTATTTAGGAGATAATGTGTTGAAAACATATTGGTGAAACCAATAAATAAAATATGATGAACAAAATTGAAATTAGTGAAGAGATGAAATATTTTTAGTAATTATTTATGTTGCAGTTGGAATAAAAAAAATTTATTAAATATAAATTATTTATAAGAACTGGGATGAAACAAAATTTAAAAATTGTGATGCGAATTAAGCACCACTCCATGCAAAACTTTACTGCGAAAATCTAGTTTTACTGATTATACATATATTATAAATTTTGTTACATATAATAAAATTCAATAGAACTAGATATTGGTGCTTAATCATTGAATATATTAAAATTTAAAATCTTTTTTAAATTTACAAACAAGATAATTTCAAAATTAGTTTATTAAAGTTTATTCAATTATAATTTATTTCCTCAATTTTTTAAAATTATTTTATTATATGTATAACTCTATTACTATTTATTTACGTTAGAGTACGCTTTTATAATTATAAAATATATTTAAATCCATAATCAATAATATATTATCAAAATCAATTTATATTCCACTTACCCGAAATATTCTTCTAATCTATTGCAAACTCGTCAATTCTCCACCTAACCTCTATATATAACCTCATATCAGAAGCAATTCATTTACGTGCACTACAAAAGAAAAATCAATTGTCCTCAAAATGTCATTCAATTCATTTTATCATACCCATCCTTATCTCCTCTTACTACGACGCATACATCGCATTTTTTCATACCTTTAATTCATTCGTGGCCTGAATTCTCGAATCGTTGGATGACGATTGACTAATACGATCGATCGATCTTATGCCACAGAGATGCAAGAAGTTTCGGGTCGGCGAACGATGCTGTGAATTCGAATGTCTGGACGATATTGATACGAATTGGACAGGGCCTGATCTGATTATTGCAAACGGTTCCTCCAGGATTCAAGAACAAGGAATATTCTGGCTGATGAGTTTAATAATGCTGTTAAGAGCGTTCTAATTTTTTAACGAGGATCCAGATGGCGTCGTCGATGGAATTCGGTCATTATGGAATACCACGGCGAATATGGACCAGTAAAGGATTAAAGAAGGTACGATATAATATGATGATGAAATATCGCGTTTGTACCTGTTGATTATACCTCGAGAAATAACGTGCTATAATTATGAAAGTTTCTTGCAAATTTTTTTTTATTGTTCTTTCATTATGGATTGATTATAAATTATAAATCAAATGGATTTCATATCTGATAGGCAAAATTAAATTAAATTGGATTGGTTTAACTTGCTTCTTTATAATATTAATTTATTTTATATATATTATACAGATAGATGATTGTTACTTACTGTTGTAGTTTTTTTTTAATATTATTGCAATAATATTTAATATTATTCATTTAATCTTGTTTAAATTTTATGATATTTTCACTGGGAAATGTGCACAAAATGGCATAATGGTACATGCATACTTTCTAATTTAAATTTTTATGAATTAAATATTTGTTATTTATCATCATTGATTAAATGAAAATGAAAACATGAGAAATTGAATAGCATTAAAAGTATGAAAATAATAATAATAATTTATTATATTTTCTTCTTGTTAATGATAATAATAATAATAATAATAATAGTTTGACAAAAAGAAATTAAATTGTTGACACATGTAGAACAAAATTCTATTTTAAACATGAAACATGGCTATTTTGTTTACAAATATTTAATGCATGTAAATTAACAATTTACATAAATTAAATGAAATAGTTAAGAAAAGACTATTGTAAAATAAAAAATAGATTAATTATTACAATTATTTCTATGCTTGGCAAATAATTGATAAAGTGATATAAAAACAAATTAGTAAATTATATTATTTTTAATATCTCTTTATAACCTCTTGCTTCATAATTTTCTTAATATTATATTTACATATTTCTCGAATTCTTTCACTGCTATGAATGAAAAATGATAAAACATATATCTACTTACTTGGATACAATGTGTATTTTCTACTTGAATTATTGATTACAATCTAAAATAAAAATTCACATTACAAAGTAAAAAGTTAAATAAAATTATATAAATTACAATAGAAAAATGTTTTTCTCTGCCGTATCTTAATTAATTTCAAAAATTCAAATTATAATAAATTTATAAATCTAAAAAGAAATAACAAGGGAAACAATTATGTGACCAAAAAATAGTTTAATAATAAAAATAATGCAAAATATTTATGAAATATAGACTACTACTTTCTTATACAACAATTTTTTCCGTTTTTAAAGTTACACAATAAATCGAGTTTCCACAACGATGAGAATCAACAGAATTAAAATAAGACCAGATAAAATTTAAGACAACGATATCAGAGGGATCAAATCAATGATTTCGAAGTTATGGAACATCGTTGCCAAGAAAAATTACTTTTTCTATAAAAATTTTTACATCAAATTTGACATATTCGCGGAATATTTCGTAGCCAATAGCAATAATAAGTGTACAAGTATTCCACCAAGAATATAAAGATAAAAACTTTTAGAGAGCGATAATATCGTTGCGTTTCAAAAATTTATTTTTTTATTATTAATTACAAAGATCGTAATAAAAAATCGTAACGAGATGGAAAACGATGATTTATTAATGAAAAACGTTTGAAAAAGTTCTGTAGATATCAGTGATCGTTCCGTTGAATGGTTCGTTCGAATTACGATCATGATTATCGGATGGAAAGGTCGAGAGCTTGGCTGAATATCGACTTTGATGCTTCAACGCCTCGTCTCTTTTTTAGTTCACTAACATATAGCTTAATCAATACATAGATCTTTTTGAAAAATTTTTTTTAGATTTTTGTTCGATGAAGGATCGTCACATTATTATACTCACAGAAGATTTTTCAAATTTAAAATTTTTTAAAAAATTTTTTGGTATTATAAATTTTGATTGAAAAAAATACTTCTAGAATCGATTGGAATTGGTAAACTTGAGATATCTTTTTTCTATTGATAATTTGATGAAGAAATGTATCCTTGAATAATCCTGATATTTATTTTATTAGTATTATTCTTTTTTTCTAATTATTTTTATTAAGAAGAACATTATGATAGACGTTATAAAGATAATGGATCGATAATTTCTAATTGATTGATCAAGTTTGTAACGTCAGAAAAATACTTTTTATATCAGTCAAAATGAAGATAAATGCACATTAACAAGTTAATCCTCTTGTTGTCCGTAGAATCTTACTATGTACTTAGTTACGATGATTTCGTATTAGCCATTATTTCAATTTTCTAATTTAACTGTGACGTTTGATTTAATGATACCATAATCAAATGATACGATAACAATTTTGTCTTAAAAAGCTTATCTCATGATTCTGGTTTGAAGAAAAAAATAAAACTTTTTAATTTTATATCTTCTAAATGAATTTCTTAATGTCAAAAAATTAATAATTTGATATTAAAAAAAAAAAAATTTGGATTATTTTTTATATTAATGAAATATATATTTTTTTTATTTCTATTTCTCTTTTTTTTGATATTATAATTTCTATGTTATGTATAAAAAAGAAAGAAGTGTCACAAGAATGCAATAAATAAGTTCTGCAATATCATAGAACTATTCGTATTAATCGATTAACTGAGCTCTTTCAAGACAGCAATATTCAATTCTCAAGATCTTTATTTATTGATTAAAAAATAGTTGAAAATTTCTACAGTTTTCTATGGAGAATTTTAAAATTAAAGATTTAAGGAATTTATTAAATTTAAATTAATATTATAACTTTATTAAATCATTTAAGTTCTAGTAGAAAAATTTTTGTTTGATATTTTCCTTCTTTTTTAAAAGATAAAAATTTTCATAAAATGATTATTAATTTAACATAAATACGATTTGTTGTTTTAATTTTTTTTATTATTAAAGTTTACTTTTTTTTAATAATTCAAAGTTTAAAAAAAAGGCCTACAAAAAAATTCCAAATTCCAAAATTGTCGCGCTCTTTTCGTTTTGATATTTCTCAAAATTTAATAAAAAGCATACACAAATATTGAAATTCATATTACTTGTGAGCGAATTGTTTGAAAGAAATGTATATATCAAGTTTTCTGAAACAAATTACTTAATTAATTATAAATAAATCCATCCATTGTCCATATTATGGCCTATGAATTTTTAACGGCCGAACATATCAATTTCTGAGAAAAGGAAAAATGTAATAAAATGAAAACGATTATTATTAGCGAGGCAGAAGTGTAAAATGTTTTTAGAAAGTTAATAATAAAGTTGTATAGAAGGTAAAAAAAGGATAAATAATATTATAAGCATGGAAACGAAGTTCAACGTGAGATGAGCGAAAATTGATCGAAAGATTGAATTTAATCCTTTGAGGTTATGAAGAGCACGCTTTGATGTCTTGTTTGAAAGGAAGACCTGGGTTTATACAAGAATTTTAGATCGTTTAAAGTTAAAGTTTATAGCTCGATGAACGAGATTATTTTTTTTTTAATATAATTTTATTTATATTTTCAATATGTTAATGAATTTTTTTTATATTTAATATATATTTCATTCGTAAAATTAATTATAAATTATATTTAATTAAAAACAAATTCAAAATATTTAATGTGATCTTAAACATTTTTCATATTAATTTTGAAAATGCTAATTGAACAAATTTCAAATATCATTGATTATAAATAAATAAATTTACTTTTAAGGTTTGCAACCTCAAAGAATTAAATCATGCATATGACAAAATTTTAAAGCTCTATTGAAACACACAAAAATCACTAATAGCCACTAGTAGTCACTATTGACACTTAATCGAATGTAATTACATACTCTTTTAGGCTAAAATTTTTAAAATATTCAATTATAAATCCAAAAATATAATGCCAAAGCGAATTATCCGTGTTGGCCCAGTAAAGAAATACATTAGCATTTTCGCAAATAAAAATAATATTTTCTATGTATAAAAGTATGTATATTAATCCATATAAATACTTTATATGTACATATTTGTGGAACACAATTTTTCAAGATAACATTACAACATATTTATCTACTCGAGAAAAAGAAATATTATATATATATAATATTACACAGAAGATTTAATAAATATTTTATTACTGTTAATAAAATTATTTCTGCTTTTATTAGAATCTAATTAATAGATATTCTAAAGCATCATTTATCAAATAAAATCGTATTGAATACAAGCATATGCTCAATGAAATTTAATATAACACAATCTTGTAGAATTTTAATGAAAGGGTTATAGTGGACTCAATTTTAATATATCATATTCGTACGTTAACCTAACCTTAATATCTTCTTCTTCGCTTCTTAATTCTTATTACAAACAATTATTAAGACTTTGCTTTAGTTATTAGAAGAATGACTAACGTATCATACTTTATTCAAAAACTTATTAAAGCCATATTATTAAGTCGTATTATTAATAATTCTTATAATTAGTTATATTAATTATAGTTTCTACTATAGTGATCTAACCAAAATTGATGAATGACATTTTATGTTTCTTAAAAAATATATCTTTTTTTATTTTATAAAAATAATATAATAATATAATACCTAGCAGAGACGATTTCTTTGAAACACAATTAAGTGTTTTTCCCGTGTTTTTTAATTATTAAAATAATTAATTATTAAAATATTTATAAAATTAAAATAATTAAGTTTACAGATATTTTATTATAATTGTTATTAAGAGCTCATAAATTTAAATTTAATATTTTAAATATTTTTAAGAAAATATAGTTCCATAAAAATATATCAATCATAAAGTTTTAAATATTGTTTTAATTTAGATATAAATTAAAATAAAGACTGAATGATTAAAGAAATATTTATAAAAAAAATTAGATTAAGAACAAAAATTAAATTAAGATCATAGTAGCTACAGATATTATGTATTACAAGTGAATAAATATTAATTAAAATCTGTGATCTGTTATAACATAAACTAGCAATTCAATCATAAAACAAATATTGTTTAATTGTAAGTGCCACAATGTAATCAGAGTATAAAGTCCTATACATCAATTGATTTAAAATAATGATTGATTGATAAATTGTGACAACAGTAATATTGAAATATTAATATTAAATTATTTGATCGATAATATATTTATAATTTATACATGACGAACTAAAAAAATTTTGAAAAACTATGATAATTATGAAAATAAAAAAAATTAATTATAATATTCTATAAAAATTATAGAATTTCTCATGTGAAATTAAAACATCAAATTAAAGTGAAATATAGGGAAAAAACTAGTCTAATATGTATATTTCATTCATTTATTTAATACTTGTATAAATATAATAATTTAATATTTGTATGAAAAAAAGAATATCGCCTCTGCAAGTGTGTTAATCCAATAATAAATTTTCTTTTACAAATATATAATACTGTGAATTATTTTAAAGTTAAAAATATATATATATATATATATTCAAATATTGCATTTGAATTGCAAAACAACTAGAAGTATAGAAATTCTATATCTCGCCCGTATTAAGATATGAATTGTTTCCTTTGTAAAATTCATATATTTATCGATGATTATTAAATTGTATAAATTTTATAAATTCAACAATTTAATTGCGTTATTCTACATCAAACATTTATTATTTTTTTTTAACTAATATTTTATTTTAAATAATTTAATATAATCACAAACAATTTTATTATTCTCAAGTTATAAAAATTTGTATAATTCTATGTAAATATTTGCGATACTATTTATCAGAAGAAATGATTCTACGATTCAAACATTTTTAAAACCAAATTAATGACAGAATATAATTTTTGTTTTTTTTTTTCATTTTTCATTTTCAAGATCAAATGAAAAAAATTAAAAATAAACTATATTTTTCTTGTTTTTTATGTTTTTAGAAAAGAGTTCAAGAGTTTTTTTGTTTTCTATTAACCTCACTATTTTCACATTTATGTTTCTTGAATATCGTTACATATTCAACGCAACGACTTTATTATGTTCACATTTCGTGTGATCGAGCGTTAGATGGCGTTGTGAATGTGAATTTCATTGTTTTCATACATTCTTGGTTTCAACATCATTTGTATATGCATGAATACATCTAGTAAATATGTTTTCAATATTCTCTTTTTATTTTGATGGACTAATTTTTTGGAATAATTTCACATTTTATTTTTTTTTAAAATTATTATATTTAATTATTTATTTATATCTGCAAATTTTTGATAATAAATAATAATAAATAACGAATAATAAATTAATTTTTTAATTTAAAGAAAAAAAATAATTTAAATCATAATTAATTAGAATTGAAAAACAAAAATATAAGATGAAACATAAACAGTTATATTCAACTACTATAAAATAATAACAAATATTTTCACGAGTGTGAAATTGTCAAAAAAGATAATATTATAAATGAAATTGAAAGTTTACCAGCCAAAGATTAGATTCAGTTAAATTGATAAAAAGTTGTGAACTATTGCATTGTATTTATAAAAGCTGGAAAATTACTATTAAATCAAATTAATATCAAACTAAAATATTGCTGGTTACACTTTATAACTTTATTTTTTATTACGAGAAATTGAAATTTATATATAATAATAATAAATAAACCATACTTCGAACTGGAACATAATCAAATGAATTTTTTTGTTTACATTATGATATATAATTATATGTCATAATTATATAATATACATTATTTATTAATAATAAATTTTTAATTTCAATATTAAAAACAAAATTACTCTTCAAATTAATTGCGTGCTAAATCAATATTATTGATGGTTAAAAATCGGAAATCCTCTTATTTCCACTTGAATGAATATCGTGCAGAAGCCACTAGGAATGTTGACAATATCACGTATAATGTTATTATTCTCGATTAAATTATCATTATTGTCGAGTAAAATCCTTTCTATTGTATCATTCTGTTAAATTTAACCTTATTTTATTAAACTTATTAAATTTAACACCCAATTATATATTTATGTTTTGATTGATAATAAAAATAAAATATGTTATTGTAGAATTGTTAAAATAAGACAATGTTTAAACAATGGAGAATCAAATGATAGAAATTCTATTACATTTGTTGTTATATTGTCTTTTGCTATTACAACAATATTTTTTCTATTCACTAATTATCCTTTAATAATTAGTGTTTTTGATAATTGATAAAGAAGTTCAATAATTTTAATTTAACAAATTTTAAAAAAATTTGAAAGTTTTAATTTAATTTATTCAGAAATCAATCTAAATCTTTAAATCTTTAATTTTTTAAAATTTTAATCATAAAATAAGAAAAATTAATAAAAAATTATAAAAGAAAACAAAATTTATTCCGAAAAATAATAAATATATAAAGATATTTATTTATTTAATCATCGATAAATTTTTCTGGTCATATTATTTTATATCTTATCTTATTGTGTTATTCTTTATTAAATCCAGTTCCATGTATTGTTTAATAATACCAAAATTGTTGTAGCAGATTGTTGTATAACAATGGATCTTAGATTTATTGTAAATAATCAAATTCAAACTTCATAAAGATTATATATATAGCAATTCTTTATCATAAAAATTATTAAAAAATTATTTATATGAATAATTTTTATTGTTAAATTATAATATGTGATAAATCGTGATGAAATCTATATTGATAAAAAAATTGGATATTTCCAAGCAAAAGAAAACTATTTTCTGTTTTAGATGTTTTAGATTATTATTTTTCTTTCGATATATTTAATAAAGATATTTAAAAGCAAAATATATCATAAAAAACTTTTTTTTAAATTTACGAATTCTGACTTGTTATGCGGATTATTTAAAAAACAGTTGATACATAATATTTACCAACTTCCTAAAAACTATTATAATAAATATTATAATTAATCCTAATACTATTTTTTATTAACAATTTTCTTATTTATTGATCCTTTTCTACGAGTTTTCTTTAACAGTAAGATCTTAATGATAAAATTTTATCAATTAGATTTTAATATCAAAACTTTTCAATTAATAGTGTTAAGATCTTTATTATTTTATATTTAAGATCTCGAACGACGAGCACTTAATAGAATTGATGCAATGTAAAACTCGATATCTTTATTTCTATATAAAACAGCTTTTTCGCTTTAAACATATAATATATTTATATTATATTTTTATTGAATTGTATTTTATAAAATAAAAACTAGTTTATCAATAAATATTCATTACTGACTGTTCATAAAATTCTGTCTAAAGGAATTGCCGTTAATTTAAATCAAGTAATTCTACTTGTCGTACAGGGTATTAATAAATTATTTATGATAAATAAGCATACGTCCAAATGCAGTTCGAAAAACTCAAAAGTTCAATGTTATATCGTCATGACAATAGCTTGACTTTCTATCTTTTTATGTATTGATTATTATTATTTACTTAGAATATCCGTTGTAAATGAAAGCAGAATTGTTAAAACGATAAGTTTTTCTAAAAAAAAAAACCTGTAATTTTTAAATATTTAGACATTTTTAGATATTAACTTATCCTATGATCAACAAAAAATGTAAAAATATAACCACGATTCCAATCCGTTAATATCTAATAATGATTATTTAATAATTGTGTATAATCTCTCTAATGTAAAAACATCAATAGGATGATCATTATCAACTTGTATTTATCTTGTAAAACTTACTTGTTTTTTTATTAAACTTATAATGATAATATCGTCATGTATAATGATAATTTATAACATGTAAAATTTCTGTAATATTATTTTTTAAATCGTGCAAAAGAATTTAGAAAATTTCATAAAAATATCAATTATAATTCACAAGGAACAATGTTCACACGTGATAAATTGGCATTGAACTAGAATTTCTGATGCGAACATCAATAGTATTTGAAGTGGGGATATAAAGCACAACGTACAACATGTTTCGAATTCATTATGTATTTATAAAGGATTGTCAATTCAACGGATGATCCGAGTAAATTTAAATTGTAAATAGACGCATTGCAGATTTCAAATAAAAATATCGATAAGAGCGAATATGGTATGCAGAAAAATCTGCTTGGAGAATAGGAAACGATACATTTTTATTTGTAAAGTTTGAATATCTTTAATATCAAAAATATTCAAACTAAAAATATTTTGGTTTAATTTATTCGAGGTCAAAGTTTTATTATAATATTATTTATCTTTAAATAATTTTTTGTAATGTATTTTTATATTTTAATTCTAAATTTACACCAATTTTAATCTTTATCCTTCATATTTTTTAAAAATAATTATTATATGTATATTATATTATATGAAATCGTACGTTATATAATAATTATAAATTATATTATAAAGATATAAAAAAAGAGTAAAAAAATTTAAGATATCCTATTTAAACTTATTCAAAAGAAACATCTTTATAATATTTTGATATTGATTGATTGATTTTGAAAAATCTTCACACATAACACAACACAATCATTCGTTTTGAATTAAACTTTTAATTAATTAATAATTTACTGTTTTATTCGAAAGATAATTATGTGCTATTTTATGTCATATATATTATAATAAGAATTATATATATATATATATATATATACTTATTGTATATTATATTTTTGAATATAGATTAGTTATAATATATTTTGACTTCGAATGTGTTAAAAAAAAAAATAAAATAAATCATTGTAATTAACAATAAGTTTCAAAAGTTTAAACATATAAAGACAAATAAACTAAATTATATTGTTTGAGAACATATTACGCTCGAATCGATCATTCCTTTCTTAATTTTTTTCGAAAGGAATTTAGCAGGCATGTATAATATAAGGAATCTAAAAATAAAAGCACTAGGGAATGCAATTTCTTCAGTTCAGTCGCAAAGTTCGACGACTACTTGGCATCCCTCATTTTGTTGCGATCTGATTTATTTTAAAGGAAAAGAGAACAAAAACAAGAGGAGACGATGATTTGTGTTACTTCTACTTATCTTCCTCGAGGGATAATGTGAACTCTTTCCAGCTGGCAAATAGCCGATAAACGAATTGCAATTCTGAATTTTTTCCTATTATATTAACAGTGTGTTTTCACGTTTTTGCTCTCTTTAACCTTCTATCGAGACATTGAATTAATCATTATTAATCGACCAATTTCTCTAAGCTTGTAATTTTGAACTAATGTTTACATATAAAAAGTGTTATTAATCTATTTGAATGTAAATATTTAGATCGATTTATATAGATTTAATATTGCTACATATACGATAACTAGCCTACCCACGTTGAAATCTATATCAATATCGGGCTTGCTCACTGATAAGGATCGGTATACTTATTGTTAAATCAATATATCGATCCAACTTGCATCTAAAATCGATATAATATCAGTTTATACATACTACATTAATTTGCATTATAAAACCTAAAAGTGATACGCAATGTTTCATCGTGTGTAGGCCATTATACGAGAACTACCTTGATTGTGAGGTTATCATTTAATCATCAAGAGGCCTTTCATGTATGAATAATCATTTTAAATCCATCACAGATTATAATAATTTCTTTAATCGATAATAAAGATATTTAAAATTATACATATACATCTATTTGTGTTCTTAATTGTATATTGTATGTATGTTGATGCGGGATATAACATAATATGTTCGATGCAATATAAAATGGATTCTATATCACGTTACATCCTTTATAGTATTCCTATAATCAATTAATACAAATAATATATTATTCGTAGATATTAATATCTTATTATTAATAATTAAATTTATATAGTATTATTTTTTAATTATCATACTTTGCATTATTAGAATTATTTACAAAAGATTATTATTTAAAATATTTTAATTCTAATTATTTACATTTTTTATATATTTTCATTTATTTAATATAAATGAAATATAATACATAGAAATAGAGACTTACTTAATATTATTGAAACATTAAAAATTAAAAATATGATTTTATGTTTCAGTATAGAATTAATCTTTTTTCCAGATAGTGTCATACAAATCGGTACGTCTCTGATGAAACAAGGGTATTTGAGCCCTTACTTCTTCAACAACTTTCAAATCTGTTATTAAAATAATAAATTGATGTTAAAAAAAATAAAAAAAAGAGGAAACAAAAATAAATAGATTAAATAAATTAATTTAAAAATAAAATTGGATCACTTCTCATTTTTTTTATTAAATTGCCAATTACCAATATCGGTGACCACCATGCTCTCATGAGTTTCCAGATCATGAAGAATTTCTCCCCAGGGACTAGTTAACTGTGTGTGACCCCATGCGACATAACTGGCCGAAGGATTCCGAGCCGGAGATATACTAGCGACGTATAATTGATTGTCATTCGCTCTGGAACGCTGAAGCAATGACCAATGCAGTGGTCCAGTGGTTAAATTGAATGCCGCCGGATATATCAGCATTTGGCAACCTAACCCGGAGAAATGGAAAATATGAAGTTACGAAATACCAGTTATGTAATTCTGTAACACATTTCATAGTTTAGAAATATATAATATTTATATATTAACTTTATTACAATGATTTTATTATTATAATTATACAATTTTAAGATGCAGATATAAAATAGAACTATTTTTTCATATATTTTCTTAAAATTATTTAAAAATTATTTACAAAAATGTAAAATTGTAATGGAATTAAAAATCTAAAAAAAAATTTTATATGAATATGAAACTAAAATATAAATTTAAAATGTAAAACGAATATTGCAAAATTTTATTTTATATCTATATGTGTGTATTTAATTGTTTTATTAATCAGTAGGATTTGGAAGGAATTTTATTAATATTTCATGGATGGAATATAGACTGAAAAAGCTCAATTATTAGTAAATGTTTTCATATTTTGAGGTAAGGATTAAAATACTAATAATAATCATTATTTAATAATTTTCACTTATCATACATTGATATAGTAAAATACGGATAATGGAATTTACTCAATATTTAATCACTTCCATAATAGCATAAATAAAAAGATTTACATGTACAACATCTAATACACATTTAATCTCATAATTTTAATGCGAGAATTAAATATAATAAATATTTATTCAATTATAAATATATTTTTAGCAGAAAATAAAAAATTAAAATTAATAAAAGTATAAATAATATTGTTGAGTTTCATTGACCTGAATTCTTTATTATATATATAAAGAAAAAAAATATAAGTAAACCAAACTTAGTTGATCACTTTTACCTTTATTTCGATAAATGCGTGCCATTTCCTCGAATCTAATATCATAACAAATGCCAATACCAATTTTGCAATTCTTCACTTCGAACATCGTCAGAGAATTACCAGAACTGAGTGAATCACTCTCGCGAAAAGTAATTTGGCCAGGGATGTCAATATCGAATAAGTGTATCTAATAACATAAAAAATTAGACACTAATTGTATTACTATAATTTTTATAATTTAATATCGAAGTTACAACCAAATTTTATCATTAATTTTCTTTCATTTTTTACATTTAGCAATTGAAAGCACTATTTTTCATTATTTTTTTTTATAAAATATTAATCTTCCGAATAATTAAAATTAATGTTAATTTATAAAATAAACTTCTGTTACTTCTATTATGAAAAAAATATTCCTTTTTTTTTATCATAATATAATGTACAAATTATATATAATAGAATATAATAGAATACAAATTATTGTAACGGTTTTAGAATACAAGAAAGTTTCTAAAATGAGAAAAAATCATTTTCTACTCCACTATTTCGCTACCATAAAGATACCATACATATTGCTTACCTTCCGATGTTTCGCTATCAGAGTCCCATCAGGTCCCCAGATAGTGCAAGTATTGAACAATTTATCACCATCTCTTTCAGGTATTGTACCACCAACTACATAAATGTTGTTTTCTTTAGCAGCTTTTGATAAAGCGACGCTCGTTTCTCCATCAGGAATATGCTCAGCATATTTAGGAAAGTATTCTACATTGCAATATTCCAATTAATTAAAGACTCTTTTGTTTGAACCAAATTATATTAAGAAGAAATATTTTTTTCAATTTTATTGATTAATAATTATTTATTTTACTATTAAATTTTATTATATTTATTAATAATTATTTAAATAAGTAATAAGATAAATAAATTTGATAATTCTTATTTATTTTTTCTTTCTTTAAATTAATTTTTAATTAATTTTTTTTTGTGTTGACTATAGTTTCTATAAAATATAATTAAATTATTTCATCAAAAGAAAATAAAAAATTCTTTATTCTTTCATAATTTAAAAAATTATTCTTTCAATAATACAATCATTTAAATATGGAAAAATTCCAAATGCATATATGTATTTTACTATATCTACTACTACATACTATATATTTTTTTTAATTGGATATAAAATTTAAATAAATTTAAATAATGAAATTAAAGAAAAATGTGAATAAAAAATTTGAATGATGCATTTGAAAGAGACGGTTTATTATTCAACGACTTCGCAGTATTTCTCGAAATGAATACACAAATATTAAGAATTATAAGTATAAAACAAATAAAAATAGTAATTATTATTTATTATTATTTTTGCATTAAAAATGTATTCTAAAATTGTATAAAAATTAAAATAAAAATGTGAACGAAATATGCAATCTCCATAAAAATAAATACTTACAAATAAAATATTTTATATATCTTCTGTTCTACTTTTTAAAAATATTTATTAAAAAAAATTAGTTAAAAAATTATTACGTATTCCATACGGTGAATTAAAGCATTCAGGAAAAACGACAATGTCAGCATTCTGCTTTTTTGCGCTTGAAATGTATGAAACTGCCTTTTCTATGTTCTTGGTTTTTACTTCATGAACTTCGAGCTGTACTAATGATAATCGAAATGCTAAAAAAAAATATTGGAGAAATTAAACATATTAAATTATATATTTTTCGAAATTTATCTATAATATTTTATAAAAATTAAGTACTTACTCGACATTGTTCGTACTATTTGTTTAGTGATGTTCATAAGTACCATAATGTTTTTTGAGGTTATCTATATTAACATTCCATATCAACGTTATGTAATCAAATAATTTCTGATATTGTAAAAATTAATGTTGATATATAATAACATATATATTTTATATAATTATATAATCTTTCAAAAATTGTATAAAATATTAATAAATTATTTGACTTTTTAATTATTTCTATAAAAAAAATAAATTTTTTAAAGATCGTTATATTTTTTAATGTAATATCATATTTAATATAATATTTGCAAATAAGAATAAGAAAAAAATGGTTTTGTAAAAATACATTTTATTAAAAAATGTGTATAAACAAAATTGTACAATTTGCCACGAAAGTAAAATAATGAAATACATTTTTGAAAATTATCGTCTACTAGAAGATCGAGATCTTGATCTTTTTCGTTTTTTTTGTTTCCATCTATCTGTATAATCTTTTTTATCTCTAATTTTTTCTTTTTCTTTATCTTTTTTCTTGTGTTTTTTATTCGATCTTTCTGGTGAATAATGTTTTTTGTGTTTCTTTGACTTTTTAGATTTTTTTGATTTATAGGAATCACTACTAATGGAACTACTCCTTTCTCTTTTTCTCTTTTTTCCATAATCACTATCATTAACATCAGATTCAGATCTTTTTTGACTTTTTGATTTTTTATCAGTTATTTTATCATATTTTTTCTTGTCATGTGTAATACTTTTTTTCTTTTTTTCATTATTTTCGTCATCACCCAAATTTTCAGATTTTTCAGAAGATATCGATTTTCTTTTTCTATCTGATTTCTGTTTAAATTCCTTAGTTTCTTTGTCCTTATATTCTTCATATTTCTTCGCATCTAAAATTAATCCCATAAAATACTAAAAGCCAAAACATTTATATTTATTATGATTCTTATAAAAAATGAAGAGACCTTTAAAAATTATGTAATATCACGAAATTGTGATAAATATCATTAAAAATTATAAATATTTTAATTATAAATATTAATAAAATAATAAGTCTTATTCTCACTTTATTAATAATTTAAATATTGAATTCTTTTTAAAAGTCTCTTAATGAAAAACTAATTATTCATACTAACTTAAAACTTTTGAATTTTTTGAATATTCTGATTTAGTCACTGGCTGAACCATAAATTCATTTACAGATATTATGTTTCCACCAAGAGCTAATTTTATTATGAGTCTTCCTGCATCATCATCAAATCCTTCTATTTGACCATAATTATTACTTTGTTTTCCAGCTATAATTTTTACAAATGTTCCTTTTTCTATTTTAAGTTCTTCTTCTTGTTTGTTAGAATCTGTATTTTTTTGTTGAGTTACTTTGTCTGCTCCAAGACCCATACCTTTTGGTCGTAATTCTGGTATAACTGCTGACACAACTCTATAACAATAATAATAAATAAAATTTAAAAAATAATGACTTTTTTCTACTTCTTAATATGTGATTTAATAAATCTATAATATTATTTTTAATAATTTATATAAAATAAAATTTTTACTTTTCATTTCTACCAATTCCTTTTCCTGGTTGCCAACCCATTCCTCGTAACATTGCGAAACCATAAACATCAACAGGAATTCTTTCATAATCTTCTAATGTAGACTGAAAAAATAAAAAGATAATTTATAATGTATAAAAATTATTGACACATAATATCTATATTAATAATATACCTGTTCCTGGCCTCTTAATGATTGATCTTCTACTAAAGGTAAAGTAAAATCATTTGTTTTTGTTTCCTGCTGCTCTTTTGATTTTAATTCTTCAATAATTTCTTTAGCTGCTTGTTCTTCTAATGTAACAACTTTATTATCTACTAATTGTTCCTTTGTTATAATTTGTGGTGATGCATTTCCATTAGATAATTTTGATTTGATTTCCTTATTAATATTAATATCTTCTGTTTTTTCTTTATTTTCTTTAGGTTCAAAAATATCTGCATCAATATGATTAATAATTCTGTCATGCCAAGTTTTTGAACCTAATAATGGAATGACAAGAGGTTCATCTTTTTTTTCCTCTTCACTGAAATAAGAAATAATTCCAAAAAAAATTTATTATCAAATTATAATATAATTATATAAATTAGTTATTGTCGGGTTTTATAGGTTAGGTTGAGGTTATGTACAAAAATTATATTTTTTGACTTACCCTATTACTTTAATATTTTTCTCGTCAAGACATTCAATATAATCAACTTTTTTTTCTTCTGGTGGCACAATATTTTTTAATACAGGTTTCTTAATAGATTTTGCAAAACCGAAAGAGACCTTCTTTCCTTCTTCTGCCATTTTTTAATAATAAGTATTATAGATTAATATATATAAAACATAAATAATAATTTTTATAAATTATGTACATGAACTTAAACATCACATTTTATTAATTAATTTAGAAAGTACTTTAGAAATTCTTAAAACACTGTTACAACGTTATGTAAATGCTTGAATAAAGCGACATTAGAATCACTAACCTATACTGATAACATATAGTATTTTCGCTTAAGTCAAAAGATCAATATTCATATGAATAGAATGTTTGTTTCTCTTAGAACTATATCCTGATAGGTTAAATTTTAATGAAATATTATGTAAATTTTATATAGCATATTGTTTAAATATGATATAAATTTAAGTTGAAAATATATAACATAAATATTTTATATTATACGTTCATCTTAATCAATTGAAAAAATTTTAAGATAAAATTGATTATACATATATTTACAATTATATATAAAATAATAAAGACACGTTTAATTATCAAATATTTTATAAATATATTATTTTTATACCGTACTTTATTTATAAGTCTATAATTATATTTACAAGTTATATGCTTAAAATTATATATAAAGAAGTTATATATAAATTTATATTATTTATTATATTTAATTTTTAATATCATTTCTCTCATAATATATCTTAAAAATTTTTATTTCTTGAAAATACTGCATATTATAAGCTTTTGATTCTACCCTAGTTTATGCATCATAGCGCGTGACAGCGCTATTATGTATTATGTTATTTATATTTTATTCAAGATCATTCTATTTTCAGATTGCACTCTCTATTCCGCTGTTTTGTATTTTGTAAATTACCGTATAGAGATGTAAAGTGAAAACTATTTTCTCTTTAAAGTTTGATGTATTTTCTATATCAGAAAAATAGCAAATTTTAAATCAACTTAAATCAAGCTACGGATCATATTATAGAATCACATGCTCTATTTGATGTTTAAAAGAATTATTTTTTTTCTATTCTTTTATCAAAATATAATATATATATATATATTTAATTAATAATTATAATAGATAATTTTGATAAATTTTACATGTATTTTTTAGTGCATAAAAAATATAAATATATACATATGAATAGATACATTATTTTCATTATTTCTTTATTCTATTTTCTTTATTTCATGCGCATTAAATTTTTAAGATTGATAAATATGTGTAAATATTCATAATTAAGATTGGTAAAAATGTGTAAATATTCACAATTGTAATGCTGTAATGATAAACATGATTGTACATGATTGATTTTAAAGATCATCTACATATTTTTTTTTCTAGGAATTTTAAATTCTTAATTTTTCTTAATATTTTAAGGTATTTAAGATTAATGCATTACTTTTCTTATTTCAATAAACTTTAAAACAATTGTCTTTGATTATGTTGGTATGCAATTTATGGAGGAAGCTATTTACTTATCTTTTGATACAAGAACTACAGTTAAAAACGACTACCAATTGAGAACGGTAGTTAAGTCTGCAAAGAGAGGGGTGAGCATGTTTTAGCGGCGACAACAGCACGATATTCAGATACGAAGCCAGGGTAAACCGGGAAGCCGTAGTTCGTGAACTGTAGTAAGTGTGGTAACTCCGGACAATCAACGACATTCGGAAGCCGGCAACGCTCTGAAATTCAGGTAAATCTATGCTTTTTTTAGATAAAATTTTTTTATAAAAATCTTTTTCTTATAGATTATTATAATTCTATATTCATGATATATGAATTTTTAAGAATTATTAAGAATTTTATATTTTTGAAATATCAAATAACAATTTTATCAGATTAAATATAATTATTAAATTATATATTAATGATGCACTTAAATTCTTATCATTAGATTTTGTTATAAAAAATAAATGAATGAATGAAATTATTAATCTTGCATTCGCTTGTATATACAATAGATCAAATATATTGCCGCATAATTAATATTTGATGATATAAATTTAACATTAATAATATAATTTTTATTTTCTTCATATACATCTGATAGTAGACCATTAATTTTAATATATTGATAAAATGATTCGAAATGTGATTGCAAATTAAAGTGGTCCATGAGGCTAACTGTAAAACATCGAGCGGTAACTACAAAGTTGATGCTAACGGAAGAGATCTTCCTGCCAAAGATTTGTTCCGCTATGTCGAGACATTCTATCCTTTGTTCCTTCGTCGTTGTTTTTATTTCTTCTTTTTATCATCAATGTACACGTTCTTTAATTCAACAATATAGCCTATAGCACAAAAATTTGTCGTGTTATGTGTATCTAGAGTTTTCGTCAACATAATTCATGAACCTGCGAACCGATTAAAATGATAAAAAGATAGATCGATTATATTGTAGACTTATTGTAGTATTCACAAATATTTAAGGATACGATATTTTTATTACGAGTATGTAATAATGTAATAATTTTCGTTTCTTTGATGATATTAATGATAGTTTTATGATTGAAATAAATACATAATTAGAAATTAGGTTATGTAAATTAATAATAATAAAATTAAATATTTTAGATTATTATATATAAAATCGTTCGATTTTCAATAAATCGTTTTATTTATTCAATTTTCAATAAAAATTTATAAGAAAAGCAATACTTTATTTTTTTAATGTAATTTTATGTATCGAAAATTAGAGCTATTAATCATTCTATAAAGAATTTTTGACAATGTTCATGTTGCCGAATGTTTCACAAGCGAAACCAACTGGCGGCGCTCGTGCATTGAACTCTTCGTATGGTTGCGCGCGCACACATATTGACAAGTCAAATTCTAGTTCGATTTCGCGGGAGAATGCTATGGTAAATGTAGTCGAGTGAACAATCGAGTACGACCGGATCTACATGTTGTCCGGAACTCCTCGCATAATGCTACGGAAACGACTGGTAAATTATATTTGTCACGAGGAATCGGTAGTGGCGTGGTTGGGGACACGATTTTATCTGACCGTGCAAGTTTACCGGACGGAACGGTCATTAAACGTCTGTCGCTAGGATTTCATGGTTTTCAGTGAAAGCTTAGAATTTTTGTTTCATTTCAGACTAATAACATTATTGATGAATCATTACTATCTTTCTTTTTTTTTCATTTTTTTCTTTTTTATTTATATTTAATTATATTATTTACGTTGTACACACATCTACATTGTTGTACATAAAAAAAGAAGTTCAAATATATATAAATATATATTCGTCATATGGATTGAATTAATATTGTGTGAATGATTCTCTCATTTTTTCAAAAATAACAATGTACAAAAGAATATTTTTGAAAAATACAAATTAGAATAGTTAAATAATAATAGCAATTATTATTCTTTTTTAGATAAGCGAATATGTTACTTCTGTTTCAAATATCGCTGCTATTGTTCCTGATAACAGAAATCGGCGCAGTAGGAATTGGAAAAGCATGGCAAATTCTTCCATACACAACCGATTCATGGAATCATCCATCGTGGCCACGACTCGATTCTTCTGCGTTCGAAGTTCGAAGCGTGAGTGGTGTCGGTCGTCTTAATCCTTCAGAAACCACTCAAAGGAATCTAAAACTTGACCAATCAAAATCTATCCAGCCCAATATTATTCCGTTATCAAAATCAAACATTTTATTCAGCCAAAAGTATTTCAATCAATTCGAAACAAATTTTGAAGATTCTTCCTACGATCAATATGAAAACCAAGACGAAATGAATGATGCACCGGAAGATAAGATATTTAAAGCAAGAATAGCAATGACTGTTCTAGATCCAAAAGACAACAAAGATTTGTTAAAGAATACTGCAGACGAGACAAAGAAAATTGTATCAAGGATTCGTCGTGACACGGAAAACGAAACGAAGATGGAGCAAATATCTACTAGTAAAAATGTTCGAGAGATACGTTTAAGTTCTCCAGATGGTTGGTCCACTCAACCATTATCCATAGAGTTTCCCCATAGATCTAGTTTAGATCAAATGATTCAGCAAACAATGGATGACGAAGAATCACCAAACGCAAGGAGTTATCACACTCCTCGAGCTGATTTTATAACCAGTCACCACAGAAGAAGTTATGAACATCGAGAAGCTCGAGATATGCCTATCACTAGAGCCTATGATGATTATGATGTTCCATGGTACAGGAGTACCGTCAGGGAACGAGATTATGAACCTTTAAGTTACCGTCGTGGATATAATTATTATTATCCTGATCGATATAGAATGGAAAGAGATTATTATATGCGAGTTCCCCCCAATGATTATTCTTATTATTATGATCGGTATAGGGACGAGGATTTGGATCTTTATGGTCGTAGCAGACCCACGCCCAAGCCCAAGAGGATTATCTACTATGCAACATTGCCGGAAATAGTAAGGAAACCCGTAGATCTGAGAAATTATCCTAGACCATATGATGGAACTAGAACAGGGCCAATTTCTAGGGATGGAAATTATAAACGTATTCCAGGGAATGTTGATCCTAGTAGATATCGATATAGACATGCATATGATGGCTATGATAATTATTCAAAGAGATCGAGCTTCGTAGATAGGCCTTATTCATACCCTGAAGAGGAGAGTCGCCGCAAGATGGCGTTAGAAAATCTTCGAAATAACGATGCATTTGATCAAAATAATGATAGAAAATTGGCGAATCAGATTACGGTAAGAAATGATGGGAAGCTACCCTGGCCAGTGCAAATTGGGACAGAAGTGAGTGTGAAAGATGACGAGAGAATCTCTGGAAGAAAGATTTTTGGAGAAAATAATGGATATGACAGATTCCAGAGTGCGCAGTTACAAAAGGCACCAGATGCAACTGGATCCAGCGAATTACAAAGCGACAATTGAATGTAGAATGAGTTTTTTTCTTAGAATTAGTGAATTTTGAAAAGAATTTTTTGATACTGTTCGCTTTGATATACCCTGTGTCTTTTTCTATTGGTAGAGAATTGGATAGATTTTACTGTAAAAATAATATTAATATTAAAGTTTAATCGAATATATGAAAGAATTAATATGCAGTAATATTTATATTTACTATAATTTAAAACAGAAAGTATCATGATTGAAAGATGTTCACCCTATAAATCCCGTGATTTAACATTAATATTATACATTGATATTTATAATTTTAAGTTATGAACATCTTTTGAAATGTTTCTACGATGTATTGATTTGCGGATTTTCAGTTAATTTATATTATTTATTATGGAATTATCATTAAAAATATTTACTATAATACTTATATAGTATTTTTTACAAAACTCTTTCTTCAGAAAGATTTATTACATAAATTTTAAATCATTTTTTGTATTACGATATAGACTGAATCTTTAGAAAAGGCGAACTGTATTTATTTTTTAATAATATTGAAAATAATGCATTACATATTTTGTTTATTAATATACAGAAAAATAATTTTGAAAAAAAAACATATATAATCCCACTTTTCTTCCTTATGTCTTTATTTTCTTTGCTGCTTTTTTCAATAAAAACTTCGATAAATCTTTGGAAAAATGATCTGTTTTCGTTATTCGATTTAATTCAACAATCCATGAATTAATCTATAAAAATTATTAAACATTTTATTTATAATTATTATCTTTTTTGTAAATATATTATTTAATGAATTAATTGCTAGCAATAAATTACCGAATTTTGAGTTTTTCCATTAATGAAACCAGATAATTCATCTGGAGTCATATTCAAAATATTACAAGCAGTTTCTTGAGCTTCTCTTTCACTTGCTTCACTTTCATTTAAGTTTTTGTGCGATTTATGGTCTCCTTCGTACTCATAATAAAGTTTCTTCAAAAATTCCTAATTTAAAATAATTTCTGAACATCTTTCACAATTTTAACAAAAATATTGAAATTTATATAACTGCAATGTTATACCTTAATAGCGTTTAAGTATTCGATATTCTGATTTTGAGTAATCGACATTTTCGTTTTTAAAGTCTTAATAATTTCCTCGTATTTAGTTTTAATAACTTCAATTTCCTGCTGAATCGTTTCTTCACATTTTTTGGCACATTTTGTTTCCATCTAATATTAAACATATATTTAATCTATAAATTATTTTCTTTTTTTATGTAAAAATTAATATATATATATATTAAAAATTAATATATATATTAATTAATATATGTAATACATTTTACCTTTTCCTTTATATCTGTTTTCGATTTTTCCTTGTCTGAAAGTAATTTATCTTTTTCAACATTTAAAACTGAAATCTAATAAGAACAAAATATATTAAATCTATTAAAAATTTAATTTCACAATACATACTTTTGCTCTCAACTGTGAATTAGTGCTTCGAATATTACTGATCTCGTTCTCCAAACTGTTAATTTTAGATGTCAGTTGATTATTTTCTTTAGTTAAGTCTTTCAATTGACTTTTGTAACTGTTTAATAAAAATCCCTTGTTGGCATTTGCTGAATCCGATCGTATTAATCTAAATTTCAATAAGTATTATTTCTTATTGACTTATTTATACCAAAATGTAATAGATATTTTCTATCAAAAAAAAAAAAAAAAAAAAAAAAATTAAAAAAATAAAAGAAATTAACTTTTATATCTAATAAAAAAACTCAGATTGTACATAGTGTTCCATACATTTAAATCCTATACCATTTGAATCATCAGATATAATTAATTTTTCATTTAAAAAATTTCAAATACTTTTGTTTAAGTTGAACAATTATCGTAGAATCCTCTTCAACTTTTTTCTTCAGATTGACCAATTCTCTGTTCCTCGTGTCTCGAATCATATTATGCTCCTTTCCTGTAGTTTGCTGCAACCACTCTCGTGTTTCATCGATTTTCTTTCTCAAGGAAACGTTCTCGCTTATCAATTCATTCAAATTCGTTTCGGCGACTTCCATTTCTTCCTTCAACTGATCGAAGCATTTGTTCATGGAATCATGTTCTTCCGATTTCTCTTTCAGCATTTTTCGGGTTGCTGCCAATTCTTGTTTCAATTTGTTTGATTTCGTCACTGCCATCCGCAACTGGTAGAAATGAAACAACACATTACATCAATAAATATGATTTGTTACATAAAATTTACGATTTTATTATCACGGAATAAATAACGATATTATTTTTGAATTATGAATAGAAATAGAAAGAGTTAACTTGATATTTCTAGTTTTAATAAATATGAGAATGAATGAAAAAGAACAATAAGGAATAGTTTTTCGATTATTTTTAATCAATAGTAAGTAGAGTAAGTATAGTAAATAATAATGATTAAGCGCTCACCTTTTTGTGTAATTTATTCATAATTTTCTTTTGATATTTTAATTTTCTACAAGGTTTAGTCAGATAACTACTGCATCTTTTACGATCCATGGAATAGGGACCGAAATTTTCCAAAACAGAAGTACAAATACGCACAATTCTCTCTTGCAATATTTCGTTTTCTTTTCGAGCTTCTGCCTTTACATTTTCCAAGGATCTAAGTCAGATACAAATACAAAATATATTGGTATGTAAGTAAAATATCTTATGCAATCTTACTTCTTATATTTTTCCTTCATGGCAGATTTTGCTTTTAAAGCTTCTTCAAGCTCTTCCCTTGTTCTAGCGAGCTTTTCTTCAAGTTCTGCTATGATTGTTTTGTATCTAACGATTACAATATATATAAAAATGAATTAATATAATTTTATTAAAGATAAATTTATTTTTATACTCATATACTCATATATCTATCACACAATTGTAAGTATTGATATTTATGCAATATAAATAATAAAATACCCATGATGATTCAATAAAAATTTAATAGAAAATAAAAATATTTTATTATTGAAATCATATGGAAAATAAAAGAGTTTTTTATTTTCAATCAAGTTTTTTGAGAATATTTTGTAGAACATAATAATAGAAAAGGATAGAGATAGGATAAAAATTATGCAATCACCGCCATCTTCAGAGTGCCGCAAATGAAACACAAGGATAGTAAATAATAGGAAAAGGATATATAATAAGAATTGATCGCCTGCGCCATCTCTTACGTGATAAAAACAGTTTTCTATAAATGGAGTAAGAATTGGGAACTAGCGCCATCTCTTAAATACTCTAGAAAAGACTATTTTTGAACAAATGTTTTTAACATTCAAGAGATGGCATTGATGATTAATTCTTATTCTATTTTTACTCTTCTTTTACTATTTATTATCCCTGCTATGTGTTTCATTTGCGGCACTCTGAAGATGGCGCTGAATCTCAAATTTTTACTATATTTCTATCCTTTTTTTATTATTTACTTTTCTTGTCTTGTTCTTGATAGGTAGCCACAAATAGAGAATGTCAATTGAATATATTTTTATTGTTTTTCTTATAAAAAATTACGATGACTATCTAATTTAATAAAAATTCTATATTTTCTATATTTTATCTCATGCCTAAAATTGAAATTTTAGGCATGAGATAAAAAAGACATTGAATATTGCTTTCTGTAGCTTTGTATGACAAACTTGAGCATACATATATATTCTAAGAGAAATTTTATTAACTTATTTAGCCATATTAATTTTGAAATATTCGCGCGATAGAATTTTTCATGAATTTGTAATGGACAGATAAATGGTCAGACTTTTTCCATTAAAATATAGTTACTTTTATGTATTCTCTATAAACTCACTCAGTTTCCTTGTTCGACGATATTTTTTCCTTTGTCTGCTGCTCGACGCGTCGATTCAATTCGACGAGGATATTTTGTTGAAAAAAGAAAATTTACATTAGAATTCGTTAAATGATATTGTTGTAAAAAAGTTTTCGTTTGTTTTCAATGCAAATTTGAATTAGTATGGTAGATTTTATAGAAAGTTTTATACGCATATTTAAATTATTTTTCTATTCATTTATTTAGAATAATTTTTTATTTAACTCGATGTTAAGGTGATTTTAAGATCATTTATATAAAATAACTTAAATATTTATGAATCATAAATTCAATAAATATTGTGAAAACTTTACAACAAATCTGATACATAAATACATGAACTTCTTAAAAGTATTTTAAAACTAGGAATTGTCTTATCTGAATTTACTAAGTTTTTTTTGGAAAATAATCGATATAATAAAAACTGATATAAATTTTGAGCGTTTAAATTCTTCAAATTCAACAACACACGATCGCAAGTTTCAATGAATCGTTCGAATTTTCGTTGGAGAATTTTGCAATATTTTAATATACATACTCTTTGCATACCTCAGTCCCACTGGCGAGGGCTTCCTCGATTAGCCATTGGGGAGCAGGATCTTCATCGTTATACCAAAATGCCGACGATTCTTTTTGTTTCAAATAAATGCACGGAGAAAATTGATTCGTATCACTTTCTACTTTGTTATCCTTATTCTCGTTAAATTGGATAGCTTCGATAGATGTTTGTGTACAAATCGTTTTTCTTTCCATATCGATTTTTTTATCTAAAATATGTTTATGATATAATAATTATTATATAACTTTGACGATAGTAAAATAATTATAAGAAATAAGAAAATCTAGATTATTTAATTAATCGAGTCAGATATTTATAATTAATTTTACATTATATTTAATATTTTTATTAATATTATCGGAAGAGCATTTTATGTGAAAGCTAATAAATGATAGTAGTGTTCTGTGCACTACTGCCATCTGGTGAAGATTATTTTTATTATTTTGTATGACATATCTACTACATCGACAAATTTATATATAATATCATTGAATATATTGTAAAATTTTATGTAATAGCATTTTTAAGATATAATGTAAAATTAAAGATATATATTTAGAATATAATTAACAATTCGTGGTTTTAAATTTTGATTCTAAATCTAAAAAGTTATAGAACAATTTTTATTAAACAAACTTTAGTATTATAAGGTCTAAAATTGCAAACTTCTAAAGTATTAGAATTATTAAAATTTTTAACAATTTTAAAACTTCGAAGTCATAGAGTTCCAAATAATTTTTATTGAAAAAATATCTTTGTGAATAAAAATTAAATCATGTAATATAATTTATTTTAAAAATAATTCGAATTTATATTCAAAGATTGCATTTTTTCTATTTCGGAAATAATAGGAAATTAGAGCAAAAATTCATAAAACAGAACGTACAATTTAACCTAAACTTTACAAATAAATCGAAAAGATAAACAAAAGCATTTTCTATGAAGATTACTATTATTGTTATTTCTTATATTGCAGAATAACAATAACTTGATATTGTCTAAAAATATATGAACAAACGTTTGCAAAAAAGCAGGTTTTGAAAAAAATAGATAATACGATCGATCAGACACGACTATCGCCAGAACAAAACGAATATAACCCCCACTCCAATCTGCTTGGTCGGACCATATTATCGGATATTATCGGACCATATGGAATTTGGGACCGAAAATAGTCCCGTGCAGGAAATTGCTAACGACTTAAACGTTGGGGCGGTGCGCAAAGACCGTAAGTCCCATGGGCCCAGTTGTGATGGATGGTGCTTGGCCACTCTGTAATTTGAAGGCGTTATATGTGCACCCTGACACCGTATACTTTGCAACGATCTTCCATATGTCCCCGATTGCTCTTCTTATATAATTCGCACACAATCTTATAATTGATGTCAACTACTTGTGATTAGTCACGAATGATTTTTTTCTAATTGGTTCGATGACAAGTGTTTGATTGAAAATGTTTAACCTCTTTTCATTCGAATGATTATAACTGATCTAATCTGAAGAGATACAAATTACTCTCTTATAAATTTATTTATAAGATTAATTTGATGTAAAGGAAAATTCTATTCTATATACTTAATCTATAATTTTTTAATTTTGAATTTATTTGCATTTTCTTTCAATTTGAAATATAATTTTTATTTAGAAAAATTAAATTAATAAAAAAGATTAAAATAGAAGATATTAAACAATGCAAAATTGTAATAGAAGCCAGATGATTACGTGAAGCGTTCAATAAACCAGTACTAATTAGACGAAACAGCTTACACACGTAACCTGCATGGACTAATGAAATTTGTTTGTCAATTAAATGGCGTTGCTGGTGAATTTTCCCTATACTTTGCCGCTTGGTCGGTACACTAATTAATTTCTACGCTCGAGTTCACTTTATTTATGCGCGACAGGCTTCAAAATTGCACCACAACCGTGGCTTGTATATTTACGCGGGCAGGTAGACTGCGCAGACCGCAGCATGCAAAAATAGCTCGCCGCGAATTGGGACCGGCGTTTCGCTGACGAAAACATCGCGTACACTCTGTAAATTGATCCCAGACTGAATTGATAGCCGAAACATTCGAGGCTTTCTTTATTTGAAAACGAGAAAAAAGATAAAAAAAAAAAAATAAAAATAAAAAATAAAAAATAAAAAAAAATGGATAAAATATCTTTTTTCATTGTATTGCAATCTGGTTTACGCTGTTCGCGTTGTTTCGATCATGAATATGCATGTAAGGTTAATTTATTTTTTTTCTATTTTTGACAGATAAAGTTAGATTAATTAGTTAATTGATCAAGTATTGTGACACGTGAACAAATATAAAATATATGTGTATATTCGGTGGTTTTTAAATTTATAATATAATTTTATGATGTAATAAAAAAATTATTTATCATTATATCAATTTAACATCAACAATCAAATTAGGTTAGAAAAAAGCAAAATATTTTTCTATCATTCAACCAACCCATTTCCAATAAACCATCTCGCTACGAAATTCCATTTCGATACGATGCAGATGTACCTATATCCCCCAATTCCTGTTCATTCGGCGACCCAGTACCATGAAATTATTGTAGATAATATGTGGATAGTTAGTCCGCGATTAGTCTGTCCAACGGATTATATTCCTCCCCTTTTCATTCCCGTGGTGCCTCAGGGGCAGCAGCTCCGTGATAAATGACCGAATCCTTTAGTGTTTTTTAGCCGCGGATCGCTTAGCTGATTCGTTCCCCTCCTATCCCCCTACTCGGCTGTGCACACGAGCCGTCCTTTCCCCTGGCCCTTCCTGTCCCGGAACCTGTGCCGGCTGGACGAAGGTCGCCGTTACAATTTCGCCGTAAATCATTGCAAATCGTTGACGTAAAACGGCACGGGTAATTAGATACACTAACCTGCGACGGACCACGTTTCTTGCGCGCCAGCGAGCAACAAAGAGGCATCTTGCTCCCGATTCATCGTATTCTTCTCGTTCTTCTGTAACGAATAATAGTGATAACGTTTATTGCAAGACTTGGAATTGATCATTCGATTATTATATATTAAAATTATTTTTTAGAATATTGAGGAGTAAATGTTATCGAAAATTTTTTGATTTTGGAGAAAGAAGAAAAATCTATTGTTATCAATTTTTGAAGTGATTTATAATTTTATATTCAAATTTCTAATTATTCGCAATTATATATATGAAAATTATAAATATATAAAATATAAATATTAACAAATAACCTATAAATAAAACTTCGTTAATGCATTTTTATTTTAGGAAACAATATCCTTATATAAATAAGATTTGACTACTAAGATTTTTCGCGTAAGTTGCGACGCTATGGCTAATTTCGAGATTAGCCGTTGTTTATTGTCGAATCCTTTTAACTAAGATAGTAGGGAGCCGTAAGAAGTTCTATCGTGAACGAAAAAAAAGGGGGAGACAGTAAGATTTCGTCATTAACGACACGCCTCGTATTTTGTTTAGCAGGGAATGTGCCCTCGTTAGGGATCGTTAGAGTTTTAATACCATAAAGTCTCCCTTTGGAATCAGTGGCACGTGGTGTGCCAGTAAGTACATGGGTTAGCTTTCGCTTCTTAAATTTTTCCCCAAGAACGTTCATATTTTCATTTGATGTCATTAACGGATTACGTGTTATACGTTTTTTTTTGGTGAAGTTATAAAAGGAAAATTGCGTTAAGGTGCGCGTTAACGGGGATGATTTATTAATCGTAAAAAAAAAAAGTCTTTGTACATGGGGAAGATTGCGAAATGGTTTTTGAGGTTAGAATCGAATGATTTTATTAAGACTTTACAGGTTGTGTGGCTTCTTTTTAAGATGATAGAGGGAGGAATAAATAATAAATTACTAGATCATTTTTCATTTTCTAATATAAATTAAAATACCTGTAAACTTTCCAATTCTTCGAATGAGGAAATTCCATCAATTCTCATAACTTTTATAACCTCTTCAAGAAAATAGTTAATGTACTAGCACAAGTGATTCAAACCAATGATTTAACCACATCTATATAAAATTGAGCCTGGAATTACTTTAATTACAAATAACATTACGATACGACATAACACACGAGGAAGAAGCGCGCACAACTGAATTAGATGGCGCACAATTCGTCAAGAATACAACAAAATCACTTATAGACGGCGTAAATGTCGCTGTTCAATTACATTTAATGCCATGGCGGACACATCACGAGTTTGAGGCGGCCATAATCGATGAATAAGCGAGCTTCGCAGATTCCGTGGAAAAGCGGCAAATGTGATTTTAATGTCAAGCGGCTCACGAAGCCTCGTATTTTCCATGGGCGTGTCTCTAACGACCGGACTCTCGATGGCCCGCGGCTACTTTTACCATTTTGTTACGTTAGGTTATGTTGCATTCGCTCGCTGATGCTGCTCGGCGCATCTATTATGAATTGCGAGGCGGGTCGGACTATTTCGAGTGGGAATTGTGAAAGTTATATGTATTTGTGAGATTTAAAGTGGTTTTAGGATGTTGAGTGGAATTGGTGAAATGTTGATTTGAAGAGAGATTTCAATGGGCATTCCATATGGTGTCTTTTGGTTTTTAATTGATATAATTGAATAAAGTATTTATTTATTATATCCACGATTAATTTTATTTGAAATCTGTTGTCAATGGCTTTCTCCAATGATCATCATCAATGTGATAATTATATGATTATAATTGAATCGTCTAGATTCGTATCGGTTCTGTTTCATTAAGCTCTTCAATAAGAGTATATCTATAATTTATAATATACGGTACAAGCCTAATGGAAAAATGCATGGCCAATTTTATGTCAAGCCAAATTATTGGTTGGGGCAGTTGAATAAGGAAGAAATAATAGACGAAAGACTATGAAAATTGGGATTTAATCTTTGAATGAATTGTCCAGGATCATATGTAGCTTCTTCACGTTAAATTATGAGTATGAAAAATTGATACTAAAGTTCTTATATTAGTTTTATATTTATAGTTATATACGTTATTATATATTATATATAGCTAATTTGTATTTTATTTCCATGAAAATTAATTTTAAAAATTGATTAATATATCATGTTATTTTTAAAATCTATATTTTTTTATCACCCTATATATACATACATATACATATAAAACAGAAAAACAAAAGTTTCGTCCTCGTTTTCAACGGATATCCCTTCGGATGAATAAATGTTATTCAATATCCCTCGCGTTCCGTCGACAGATTTTCATTTACGGATCGCGGACCCTATGTATGGGGATTCAAAATCAAACGCGGGTATCGCTGTATCAGCGTCGGCGGCCGCTCCAAGCGTGTTCCGCGGTGTTCATTTCAATTCGCCTCTAATTGAACGCTGTTCAATATTGACGAGTTAAATAATTGTCTTTGGAAAACTGAGCTCTGCGTAACCGTTAATCATTCCTCTCGTCGGCTCGTCGCGTTGTGCACGCGATCCTATAATAATTCGCGTCCTGCCGCGAGAATGGAGAAAAATGAAAAATGAAAAATATATTCAATTCGTATATATTTATTTGAGATGCACAAGTACAGGAATTTTAAATGATAAAAATTAAATGTTACGTTGGTACGTTTGAAATCTTGTTATTTCAGATATTTAATAACTTCGATATCATATATTTATAAAATTTTATGCTATTCATTCGAATAATATCTTTAAATATTAATCTTTTCAAAGATATGTATTTAATTTTTATGTCAACAAAATGTTAATAAAAGAAAATAAAACATATTTTTAAAAAATGAGAAAAGAAAAAGAGTGAAACAAAATGATTAAAAAAATAAGAATAAAAGATACTAGCTAATCGAAGGACAAGTATCGCGATTCCCAGCATCATAAGCAAGTAACAAGCCATGCATTCTCGGACGTAAAGATGTCTCGGCAGTCGGCTCAGTTATATCTTCATTATAAGACCGACAGACTTACGTACTGCCGCGGCAGGCTCGTGGTGCTCAAAATTATGTGCCGCCCGCAGTTATCATTGCCTTCAGGGTCAGCTGCACGAATAATTGGCTTCCACCCATATAATATCCTACGTATACTCCTGGCCGAGTTGTGTCCGCGTGTGTAAGAATGATTTTACGTCCCACGATTATCCTTATAGTTGATTCGATTCATTGGCAAGTTAATCATCATATTCGATACGATCATATGTTAGTCTGGTGAAATCGTTTCATAATTTTGGCGATACAAATAAACCCTAGAATACAAAGCTTTTATTACGTAAAATATCTTGAAATTAAATTTCACGCAAAAAGTTCATTTCCAATTTACTTAATCCACTTAACCTCTATCTTTTTATATTATTATTCTATTACAAATCTATTTTCAATTATTTTCAAACCTAACCTCTATTTTTCACTTCACTCAACTATTCCACGGATGTGGACCATCGTGCATAAAGCAACGAGCAATCGTCGTGCTTATCCGGTCGCCACGAATTCGCGACATCGTTCGAGGGCACCGAGGCGTGCCAAAGGGTAAAAGGAAGCGGCTACAGACCGGAGAAAGGAAGATCCTTCTCCTTCGTCTTCTGCTTCGGGGTGCCTCGAACCGCGTTCGAGAATGCAGATACATAAATTCATGAGCGAAGTAACAACCGGTGACGCCACGCTAGCTTCCGTGCCGCGGTGAGCTGCGTCGCGCGGCAATCGTATTCATGAACCGACACGGTAATTAAGGACACTAGCTCGCCTTGCAGCCGGAAGTCGCATCGGGAATCCTCCCTGCGCGGTCTGGAACATCGCCGGAAATACTTATGCATTCCGTTCGTTTCGTAAAGAAAACGCGAGTAAAACACACACTGAATCGCAGTGCGACCGACGCGACGTCTGTGCCCAAAGTTCGATAAACTCTAGCGACGCCTAGCGAGTTAACGGACGAAAAGCATGTTAAAATGATTGTGGAGATAGCGATTTGATAGATGGCGCAGGAGGTAACATAAATCGTCGTTCTTTGCTTTCAAATTATTTTATTTCATTTCTACCTTTGAATTTTTCTAATATTTGTTCTTTAAATCAAATCCTACTTCATTATTTGCTACTATAATAATATTATTTATTTTAAAATTTTCTTTTCGAATCGAATTCATCTAAACCAACCATTTTTACACGTTAATTTTCCATTTTCCTGCACACGAAACGAATTCCTTGCTACTCAACTAAGCGAACGGTGTTACACGACACCGGTAATTACCGTCTAAAAGCGATCGTTGCTTTTCTAGCAATTAAACATCCAAGGCTTATCTATGAATCTTGAATGCAAACGTCGATATTTCATACGGATAGCCTAGATACAAGTAAGAATCGCGCGCAGCCCGCGTTCACTGTGATACCAACTAGGCGAATGCGAGTCGTCGTCGACTCGCAGCCTAGCAATGAACAAAAGAAGCCAGCGAGACTTAACATATTAGCGTTAATTAAGGCAATTATGTCTCCGCGTGGCAAGCATGAGAGTGTGTCCGCTACAGCTCCACTCATCCATATTCAACAGCCGTTTCCGACTGGAGCTACGAAGCCGACATTGCAACAGACATCGTCGTCGTCGTCGTTGTCCTCGATTGTCGTTGATGTCTTTCGAAGGTGATCGTTGACAACCATCGTGGGACTGTCCCGTTCACCAAACCTACTAAGTCCGGAGGTCATTACAATCTGTGAAGTTTTACGTAATGTTATAATCCGTTCGTGTTTTGTAAATTCTAACCTAATCTAAATCTTTTGTACGATTATTTTCAAAATAATAATTTAATAATTGCTTTATTTATCACATTTTTAAATTATATCTTTATATGATATTGAAAATGATACTCAAGTTATGAATTTATCATTCATTCAGAAATTCCGATTAATTTTTTCCCTTATTATTTCAAATTTAAATAATTTTTTAATTTTTTTACGCATAAAAGGAAGAAGAAAGACAGAGAATCGCTCAATAAAAAGGATAAAACGAAGTAAAAGGAAGTGAAAGAGGTAAGAGGAGTAGTCGTGGCCGGCTAGGTCGACTGGATATAGACGAAGTCCAAGGGGTGGTTGGCCGGAAGAGGGCGAAGAGGACAAGAGAGAGGCAGGAGGAAAGGAGAAAACCGGGCACGTCTAGGTTTTGCTATGACCAATGGCAGACGGGGACACAGCGCGCGCCGTTCGTATCGATCCAAGAGACTACGTTGGACTATGTCGAGTACCTCTCTCTCCCGGGTCACCTCATCCGTCCTTCGCGGATCTTCGTCTTCTGCGCCTTTCACACCCCCGCCTTACACTCCTCCCGCCCTCCTGGAATTTATAGCGGACTATTCTTGATTTCATACTTTCGTAGCTACGCCGAAAATCGACGCCTTTGAATTCTTCTCGGTGTTTTTTTTTTGTTTCATCGTTCTTTCAAAATAGTTGACCTTTAGGAAAGTTTATGATACAGACGGGAACTTTCTTCAGGATTTGAATTTTTTAGTTTATTTGGATGTAGAACTTGGTTCACTTGAATCAGTTATATTTTCATTGCATTACGAGATTTAAAGGGATAGAGAAAACGAACTTTATAAAGTAATACTGAATATTATATAAAGGAAAATACTTATGCGATATCGAATATTATTAAATTAATATTAGATATTATTATATATTTAATATCGAAAATATTTATTGATTCTAAATTTATCATTGATGATTCACAGAATTTTGAAAGTGACACGATCAAAGAATAAAAGGTAAAAATATTTAAGAGAGTAAACGCGCCTGCGCTGTAACCGAATCCCAGCTAGGTCCTCCCTGCGCTGCGACACGATGAATCGAGGGACAGAAGCAGGGATGTGACACGAGGGAGGGAAAGAGGAATAGTATGTCACCAGCCGTGGCGACACGCGCCTCCCGGTGACACTCTGCTGGACATGCGTACTCTTTCGACCTATCATTGCTGGGGTTATTAAAATTTTCGAGCCAATGAACATCCGCGGATCGAACGACAGGGGCTGCGCCCTCGGAGGGCTTGCTTTCCTCGCGGTCAAGAAGGAGGTCCTTAGATTTTTACTCAAGCTTTCGTATTCGATTATATATATATTTTAATCAAATTATCAATTTAATAGTATGTACTATGCATATATAGATTTAAATAAACATTAACATTGTTTTATAGATCAATCATCTTAAGCCTTCTGTTAGTGGCATTTTAATTCTACAAGATGAAGTTTGTTCTAGGATGTTATTCTTTTCTATATTATTCATATTATTTCTACCATCGAATAGAAAATATAAAGAAAGAGAAATATCTCAAAATGTATATCACTCCCTATACATATATAGAAAGAAATAGAGCAAGAGTTAAAAAGAGAGGACGGGGTGGTAGAGAACTAGGATGATTTTATGGTCGTGTAAGTCGGGCCAGGGTCATTGAGTGGTGGTTTTTGTTGTGAACCACACTTGGCCGGGTCTCGAACCATCTCTCCTCCGTGTGTAACGCCCACTCCATTATCTCGGTGATGATGAGTGCGCGGGCGGGTGGACCTCGTAACACACATCAGTGGAAGGATTAGCCTTCGTTCCACCGTCTCGTTGCCTGCCACCTCTCGCTCGTCCCGACAGTTGCTTCTCGGTCGTCCCTTCTTACTTCGTTTCCTTCTTCTTCTTCTTCTTCTTCTTCTTCAGGACTAATGGGCAAAGTGATTTGCGAGCAAAAAATAAATTGCCCAGGAATTTTTCGATGACGGAACGGATCGAGGATATCGTTGTGATATTGGTTCGAAAGATCGTAGATGGCGCTTCCGAAAATATGAGTAATAAACTGCAAATAATTAAATAAATTTTAAATTTTCATCTAGTTTATA